CTTGGAGAGCAATGTGGTGAGGTTCTTAGCGAGACACACATTTCAGACGAGGTAGAAAACTAAAAAGCAATTGATTCATGAAAGACAAAAGGAGTAATGTATGAATCAGCCAGTTTATCCAGGTATTGATGACCAAAGATGAGTAATTGACCTACTTGACTCGAGTGATTCTTCAAGAAAGGAAGAACATATATGTGTTAGTCCTTTGACAAGATATGAATAACAAAAAAGAAGCAGTTGACGTACTGTGTGAAAGGTCAGCTTTGCAAATCACGCAGAAGGGACTGAAAATTGATGAATCTTGGACGTTGAGTATCAGAGGAGCCTAGATCACAGATTACGAGCGCAAGCAAAGATAAACAAGATCAAAACAGGAAAGAAGCATATGGATATGCATATCAGTGTCTGTGTTCAAATGTGAGTGAAGAAGAATGGAAAGGAAAATTCACAGGTAAGATGACTATTAGCCTTATTGATGACAAGAAAGTGGATGGTTTTGGGGTACACGATGAGAAGAAAGTATTCCTCAACTGGTGGAGCAGCTTATATAAGCACAGCAGCTATCAAGAGATTGATGTCGACGTCAGACGCGTTTGATGATTCCCTTTAATTTCCGCAGTTGAAAGACCTAATGAGTTAACCTGAGAGACCTTACAAGATTTGCATGCTTTGATCACCCGTTTGCTGTGTGAGCGCTGAAATCAATTTCCAAAACGAAGTGGTGAGGCGTGAGGAGTTGAGGTCAAGACACCAGCTGAGGAAAACAGCAGGTAAACAAATCATGTTACATATGACCCCCGAGTACCGCGGGGTTCTGAGCAAATGACCGTGTCTTTAGCCGGTAAAACAGGAACACCCACAGAAAAAAAAAATTAAATGGTCTTGAAGAAAAAAAATAAACGTTATGTCAAGGCACAAACAAACCAAAAAAGGGGACAAAAGGAACATTTTTTTTCTCATCTTTTTTCTACAAACAGCCAAAAGCTGTAAAGTTTATAAGCACCAATTGCCAATCGTAAAAGCGTGAGCCACCTCTAGAGCTGGCTTGCGACCTTAAAATTATACTTATAATTTTAAGGTACCGAACAAATATCAATGGCTTGAAATCGGCTGTAAATTGCCTACTTGAATTGCCCTAATAACTAATAAGGGGTTTCAAGTTTGAGTTTTTGCGTATCTTTACGTTTTAAAAACTTGGACAATAAGGGGTTTCAAGTTCAAGATTTTCCGTATTTTTACGTTTTAAAAACTTGGATGAAGTCGTAAATTTTACGTAAAATATTTTCAAAACGGGAGACCTTTTTACGTCTCCCGTTTTAAAATTAGCATAAATGTATGCTTCTAAAAATCTTCGGTCAACAATTTGACCTTTTCAATCATGGTATTGTCCACGTCATCAAAGATGAGATTGGTTAAGAAGGCCATCTCGTCATTCTCTTCAAAGGAAATGTTGCCAAATCTTGGAACGATACGTTCACCACTTTGATTTGTTTTACAACGGTAATTATTTGACGTGCGTGATTTTTACAAACGGTCAAATTTAAAATCTTACGGTGTCGTATAAAACTTGACCAAATTTTTAAAAAATTGTATAAAAGATTTAAACTTGAAACCCCTTAATGTTATAAATTTTACGTAAAATAATTTTAAAACGGACAACCTTTTTACATCACCCGTTATAAAATTGGCGTAAATTTACGCTTATAAAAAGTATCCAGTCAACCTTTTGACCTTTTAAATGATGGTATTGCCCACTTCATCAAACATGAGATCAGTCAAGAAGGCCATGTTGTCATTATCTTTGAAGGGAATCTTGCCCAAGCTTGGAGCAATTGGGTCACCGCTTCGATTCTTTTTACGACCATAATCATCCAACATGCTTGCTTTTTACAAACGGTCAAGTTTAAAATTTTACAGGTTGTATAAAACTTGACCAAATTTTTAAAAAATTATATAAAAGATTTAAACTTGAAACCCCTTAATTTTGGTTTCATCTTTCTTTCTAACAATTTTCAAAAGCAATCGAAATAATAAAAGACCTTGGAGATATGGTAGGAATCAATTTTTTCATCTCTTCAGAGCTAAAGCTTGCTCTTCTCCTCTCATTTTAGCTGACTCAAATCAATTGCAAACTCAATATAGGTTGATCACTCGATCATTCAAATTCAACTCAGGTTAGCAAGTCTCTGCTACTCAAACAAAGGTGATCACAAAAGATAAAATTCAAGTATATTAACTACAAGATCATCAGCATCAGCAAGAAATTGTTTTGATTTGGAAAACATATCATTATGATCTTTGAAACTCAAGATTGCTTAACACTTCTCAAAGTCTCAAGATAGCCCTTTGTTTTTTACCTATCCTCACCATCTGAAACCCATGTCCACAGATAAATTCTCTCAAGATCCGATCCGATCAAAACCTAGCTTGAAAACAACACTGAATTCGTCTTTCAAGTTCTATCAACTGTCAAACTTCTTCAGATTGGAGTGAAATATTCAAAGTACCCTTGACAGCTGCATCTATTCTCATCAAACACTCTGTAATCAATTCTGCATCAGACACCGCAGAACACTGTATCTTTTGACCAGTAGTCGAGTCAAGGGGTACCCTTTCAAACGACTACCAGTCGAGTCCGCGTGCCAACAGGTGTGCCAGAGAACACGTGTAAACACCTCCCCCAAACTCACTACCACCTGTGATTTTTTTTGAAATTTCATACTTGGACTTGGCCAAATCCGACTTAAGGAACCCAACAGCAAGATAACCAGCGACCCGTGTAAAGGTCGAGCCAGGGCTAAAGTCCTTCAGTGCACCACACGCCATATGAATCCTTAAAAAGTGTCAATTTCACTCAATTCAATAACTTTGCAATACCTATCTTCAAAACAATCACGACTGGTCTCAGTTTCAATCAACAATCAAACATTCAAGCAAGTTCATTAGATCAAGAAGTGTTTTCACATCTGACCGGATTCAGAAATCTGATTGACTCGGGACCTTCTGTGAAATGAGTATTGCACTCACCATCCACAATGTCTTGATCATATATGTATTCTGTCATAAACTACACCCACAACAATGTCTGCGAGCAGACGTTCAGAATTGTGATCCATCATTCAGTCATTTGCATGTACTGACTATTGTATCCCAATGGCAGTGCTTCATGGGGGCCATGTAATAACACCCCTTGTGCTTATTGCAGTGGGCATTTAGTGCCTTGAGCGTAATACAGGTTGCTTATTGGTAAAATCATTATACTACTCATTTGGCTTCCTATGATTGAGCGGCAGGATAGCATGGCTCCCCCAAATAAACTCGGGAACAGGAGGGAAACCAAAGTAGTGTTCTGGTAATAATACTTTGCCACTTTGGCAACATGTCTGGTAAGTGGAAGGACCTGTGTTTTTTGGATTGTGAGTTCTTTTGCCAATCCAATGTAGTCCGTCGCAGGTTGAACATACATCATTACAATTGCCTAATTTATGCGGAATTTCATGGTGAAATTGAAGCAGAATGGAGTTCTCGTTGTTTTCCCACTGTGCTCGTACCACTGGCTGTGGAATTTCAGATCAAGGGGGCTTCATGGTTGAGAATACAATAGTTGATGAAGGTGTGGTGTGACAGTTTGGTCACCACTATGACATGTGCCCCATACCAAGTAGTTAGTAAATGATGATCTGGACCATTTTACCAGGTTTTACCGTGCCGTGTCATAGAGTATATTTTTGTGTATTGCCACACAGCAGAGTTAAGTGTTACACCCACACAGCTCAATTTTAGTCAACTTATTGAAAGACAGGAATGTCTTGTTCAGAATTCAGCAGACAGTGTTGTTTAGCAGATAGCATAAATATATTTCAGTCAAGGAAATCCAGACATTGGGCTACCACATGAGAAAAAGTGAAAACAAAAGAGTGTGATGTGTGATAAGGACTGCAGCAAAGCAAATGCACTGCTTCATAACAGAGAAACAGCACATTGGAATGCAGAAAAGATGTGGATGAAGGTCAAACAGGCAATCCAAGCTAAAGGAACTTGTCTTGGAGCAGCAATCAACATCCAGAATGCAGTTGCAGTGAATAAAATGAGAACATGATGCATCACGCACAACAATGTTTCAATGGGGATGAATTGGCAGGCATTTTGGCTATTGAAGTGTCTCCGTCTTTTTCATTTTCAACAGCAGAATCATCAATTGCTTCCCTTTGGTTTGAAAGAGCAGATTGAGAACTGCTAGTTGCTCCTTCAAGAGTAACACTAGATGTGTTAGCTGTGGCCATTTAGCTGCATCTCTTACAAACACGCCTGCTTAACATAGGAAAATGTTTATGGGTAGGTCTTTTCATTCTGCAATAAGGATTCTTCAAGTCATTTTTGGATCATATGATAAAGCCCCCTTAGTGAATTGAGGATATAACTTTGTCTTGCTGATTCATGAACTGATTTGTTGATTCGGTATGGATTGATGAATCTGGTTTTCCTTGCCAGTATGGGAGTTGGGGCAAGGGACTTAGTAAGTCAAGTCAAGAATATTTAGTATTGGTAGTATTTTTGCAAAGAGCTTTGAAGTTTTTTTGCAGCATCCAAGAACATTGGCACAAGATTTTGTCAGCGGGGTAGTTTGAGTCTTGAGTTGTGAAGTCTATGATAGGTTGCTCCCATGATCCACACAATCACCAGCAGCACACCTTGAGTACAACTTCAGACCCATGGTTTGTAAAGACACACCCTAGTTTGTTGAGCCAAGGCGGCACAATGCTGTTGGTGTACCATGTAGTTTTTTGCTTGTACCAGGGCCTATGTTGATTCTGAAAATCCTTCCGCTATTGTTATGATTAACTCAAGACGAGGTACTGGGTGGCCAGCCACCCTCTGGAATTGGGTGGCCAGCCACCCTTTGAGACTAAGACAGGGTTAGTCCTGGGTATCTTTCATCAAATGTAGAAATGGGATGTGCGAAATACTATTAATGACACTACAGAACAGTATTAGTGGCACTACGAAGCAGCAATTGTTGGTTGGAGCAAAGCTAGTGTGAGCTGGTTAACCACTACGCTGTAACATGTAAATTGCCATGGCTGTACATCCAGACATGCTTCTAGTGTTAACAATTAGGGTGTAACCAAAGTTTGACCAACGTAGTGCTCGGGGCCTCTACACGACAACCAATTCTTTTCTCTACATGACTATTCTGACAATCAATTTGCTTCTCATAAGATTCATGTCAATTACGTTCCCTTGTAGTGCCAGCACTTGACCTGCCTGGATCGGACCAAACGGGCTCGCCGCTAACTCCAGTTTATCATATATATAATCGACCTGAAATTCTCTAAATTTAAGAAACTATTTTGTACGTGGTCAGCTAATGCACTAACGGTCTTTGAAACATCTATAACTCATGTACGTACCTCCATGTCCCATTCTCTATGAAGTACTACAGCGACTCTCCACTCACTCCCAGAAGGCCCTGCTTCCACCAATGAATCCTTGAGGACCAATCCACGGCCACGTACGTTGAGACCTGGTCCAATACCAGCAAAAATATTGTTTGTGCTGCCTGGCTCGTGGCGACTTCTCTCCATTACCAGACGTCCCCCTATGTTGCTACCCCCGCCAACGACTACTCCCCTGAGTTCGTGAACTCCGGTCATATCGTCATTGTCAAGAACAAACTCCTCGACCAGGGCCACTGGAATCGGAAGCTTTGCCTCATCAAGGACCACGGACGCATCGTAGACTTTGCGGTACTTTTGAGTCAGGGCCTTTTCGCGCGGTACTGTCGAAATCAGTTCGGTGTGATACAATCAATAGGCATGACCACAGCTTACCTTGGCCTGAACGTTGATTCTAGCGCTCCATCCCATTGTAAGTTTGCAGTATGGTCCTATTCGTGCAGTGCGCTTCGTGGCTGAAATGTCCATTTGTTGGATTGATGTGACTGAGTCAATAAGGTTATAGGCTGGCAAGAGATAATGTATTACCAAGACCAGAAATAATCGATCAACCCACACTTATGGAAAAAAGTTCACCACCGATTCGCCCTGAGGCGACATTTTGACTTCGAGGCTGGCACGGGAGTGGAAACGCTGGTCCCCTACGCAGCTGGTTTGGCCAGATTCGTTGGACCATGTGCCACAGCCAACCAAAGTGGCCCATCCAAATCATCCAGCCCATTGTACGTTGACCTCGTGGAGGCACCCTGAATAAAAACCGTCGTTCTATCTTGGTAGACATGGTCAGAACTTGCCAGAGCCCGAGTAAGCAACCAATCGAAACGACCTCACTTGAATCGCCATGGATCTTCAGTATCTGCCAATGGGTTTTCAGTCGGAACTTGTTATAGCCGAGAGGGTCAGATTTAATGAAAGTCACTTATCCAAAGCACCTACTGATTTGCTTCTACTACAGGTACTATCTCATGGCAATGCAATCGCTTCTATGGGCCAATACTCAACTGAACTATTCATCACTATTGACGGTCCACAAATGGCCCCAGCGAACGTGATTGAATCTACACCTGGCCAACTGCAGACGCGTAGCACATACTACACCTATGGACGGATCATATTGCCTCCGTACCACTCCGTACCCATTCTTCACTCCGACAGGGCAGTTCTAGCCGTTCCAGCTGTTGATTCACCCACGTCCAGCACATATCCGAACCATGTTCTCATAACTAGCATTGGTAGAGTACTTGATTGTTACTACTCAGACATCGCCAGGTGTTGGGTTTTAATTGTTCTGCATCGAGACTGGGAATCTAGTGTTAGTTGGCTCATGTGGCTTGTAAAGTACAACACTGACTTTTTTACAGTCCTTCAGCACAGTTTCTTTTCGAGTTCGGTACACAATAAGAAATGACACCATGGGGACGCTCGGCCTGGAAATGTTCCAACTGGACGCCCTGGTGTCGCTCAGCGGAACTTTGTCGGGCTACGCACAGTCTAGTCAAGAATGGACAGTCAACGTAAGTTCAGGGCTCGTTGTTCTCAAGCCTGTACCTGACGATATTGCGCCAGTTGACCAAAGCAGAATCAGTGCCTCATTGAAGCCGATTGTTGGAATGTTACGGGCTATTTAGTCTTGTTGTACTGCATCTACTATTTCTTCCCAGTTACCTCAAGATCTTTAAATCGTGCGCTTATGCTAACACTTGAAAAGATTGGAGTTTAACACCGTATGCGTAGTGGAGTCTGAGCCGGTTGCAAAGGGGACTTAGTGTTCTTCCAGAGGCGGTGCTGGCGTTGTAGTTAGCACCAACTGGTGTTTGAATTCCACATTTGGAAAGTAATTTTTGTACCCCCTGAGTCAAGTACAGTAGAGGAGGCTCAACAAAGCAGCTAAATCAAGCACCACTGTCGACTGAGCAGGTTCTGTAGCGAACAACTTCTACGTTTTGACTGGACCACTTTCCTAGACCTGGCTGTCAAACCTGACCAAAGAGACTTGGGTCACATTTGGTCGAATGATTAGATTACGTCTCCCATTGAGAATGACTTAGACGCTGGGCCATAATAAAGGAAAGTATTTCAATATGTAAGGATTTTTCAGAACTTGCATGTAGCCAGACAGAGAAATACATTGCGGTTGGAATACCTGGTTGCTACAATTGGGCCGAATGCACTGGGTTAATTGAACACCAAGAGTATTAATTGAACCCGTAATACTTAACACATTTTGACTTGTACTTCAATAGCACCACAAGGAGTGTACTGAATGTCGCCCTTACAACGAACTAATCGAGCTCAACTGTTCTAGATTCACAACAGTGAGTTGTGCGCAGTATGTAACGAAGTGGTTCCATCAACTTACAAAAATAACCCACTCTCCTGTGTCTCCGGCGTGCTGCATTACAGTTCCCTCGAGGTCTATGATGGTGTTGCTCAATCCAACACAGTGCGGTAGAGTGGATATTAGACCTTGATTATCGACGTACTTGACCTTGAATTCTACATATCGGCCCAACTATAGTGCCAGTCAGTTCAGGAATGCCTTCAATTCGAGTTCATCACTCACTGAGTCTACCCATGCGTTGTGAAGAACAGTGAGAATCCACCAGCTGCTGACGGTATCACGGTTACCTAAAGATTGACGCCATATAACCATTCCTCGAGCGGTAACATGGACCATATTCAGTCCAGCCTCAAGCGTGGCGTGGCCCATGGTTGGCGAACAATCGGTAACATACTCTGCATTAACGATTAGAGGCTCGTCGGGACCAAAGAAGACGGCCAAACCGGAAAAAGTAATGACAACCCCATCAGATAGCATATCCGGCGACCTGGTAACCAATAAGAATGGAGAGTATCGATCCGGGATGTAAGGGTGAACTGCAACTACTTTGTAACGAACGCCCAAAGGACCACCAAAGGTTGAAACAGAAGTCTGAACCAGAAATCAGTGTCAGAATGTGACCGTGAATCTTGAACTTACAGCCCCTCTTATTCGTACTCTGCCGCTCCACACTAATGGTAACTCATGTCGCTCAGACATCATCACTTAAGAATAGTCTGAACTTTCAGGATTACACCGGATTATATTGGCCTGAGGATTCTTCCGGTTCGTCGAAAAGTGATGGAGGTAGAGAAACGTAGAAGCAGACTGATACGGCGAGAGTGGAAAACGACCGCAACCACGACTGCTTCGGTGTCAGCTGTTGCCGTTGAGTTCTTTCCCTGGTCGTGGGGTTTGTACTGATGAAGTGGTATTGCCAGTCCATGACGTGAGTTAGTCATTTGATTTCGTTGTCGTTGGCAGGCTGTCCCTTAATGTAATTGGCGCACAGGAGGGCCAGCCGTGACTCAGGAGCGTACAACATTACAACTGTGATGACCTTTGTGCCTGAATGGGTTCTGGAATCGGCGTAAGGATTGTTGTTCCTTTTCAGGTAGCGTTATGCGGTTCGCCAAATCGGTGGCCTGATGAGTCTTTGCATAGCAACATCACCTGTCTTCTTCGCCTGCGCAGACCCGCAGACCCACATTGAGTTCACCCGGGACGATTTAACATCGCTTCGAATGGAACTTTTCCAAATCTCCACAATACGATCCACTCCTTCTCTAGGTCAGAATGACCAACGTAGCCGACTCCCGCTTACCTATGAACTGGACCGGCGTTTTTCGAATGAACAGTGATGTAAGTTAGTATCGATATCAGTTAACCAGGACTGAATTTGCTTTTCACCTGCAGTGTATCCGACTGTCCAACGCAGGAACCCCTTGACCATGCCTCCAGAGCACTGTGTTACTACTACATGGTTGTCGTTCGCATTTGAGATTTTTTGTGCCGTCTCAATCTACCCAGACTGCTCTTGAATCGCACCGGTCTTACCACCTAACGGGTGCAATTTTACCAAGGAGCAACCGAGACGATACAATTTTCTTGGTAGTGTCCAGTTCAGTAGTTGCGCTCAGCGACTATGCCGCTCAACAGCCTGCGCCTGTTCCGGTCCTTACAGTTACTGCTCGCGGCCATATAGTACAATGCGTTCGATGTATGACCGTGGGGCATGGGGAAGGCGTATGGGCCATTACGGCGATGCACAACGCCTGGGATGATAGTGTAAGTGACTTGAATGTTTGCCCTGCGCACTTCCTGACACAGTCACAGTTGGGTAGATTCGTCCATTTCACGGCGGTATACGAAGCATCTCCAATGCTGTTTGACTCAATCGGGGGCCAGAATTTGAACGTGGGCAACGTCATAGATTTCAGCGGTGTGGTAAAGAATTATTGGGCACGGGGTAGAGTATGGGTCGTGGAGGTGAGTTCTTGCTCGCCTGAATTAGACTTAAGCTGACTGGTCCCAGCTCCGAGCCGCAGATGCAATCGCGTCGGCTCAACCCCCCACGCTCAGTTCTAAACATCGAGCATCCTTCAGCACTTGATCTACAGCTGCATGACATTTTCGCGTGTACAATCGGGAGCGGCGTGAAGAGTTATGAAGATAGTGGGGGCAATTTTAACTAAATTGTTGAATCAGCACAAGCATTCAGGTTGAGACCACTCCCAATGTATGATAGGCTAAAATTGGGTGCGCAATGCTAACAGCGGGAGAGAAATGGCCAGTACTAGTGCTGTGTCTCAGCAGAGTGTGAATTACTTTATAGATCCGAGTTAGGCAATGAGAACTTACTGGGAGCAAGTGAAATGGGTTATGTACGCACCGAAATTAGAGATGAATAGGTTCGAACTGACTTGAGTTGTAGTTGTATGGCTTAGCATAATCTTATGGTATCATGTAGTGATAAACAACACGGTCATAGAACTGCCTGCATGAAAAGGCCGTTTACTGGCTGCATACCTTGCTGGCCTGTAGGCTCAGCTGGAATCAATAGTTTAAAAGTCCCTGGTTGAGGCGGCACTGATGAGTACAGGACGTGACTAAACAACTTTCAACGGATCTGATGTGTCTATGTTTTGAAGTCTTGTGCTATGCACGTTTCGTAAGGATGGCCTGTAATGATTTGAGTATCATTCTCGGTAATAAACTTTTAATTGACTCAGTTGAAACTCGGTGAACTGTCACTTCAAGAGAAGCAATCTTGTTTAGTCAACCAGGCTGCTCAGAGCAAACGTGCAGACTCTGCCTGTTGCAGCGGGTTGAAAACTTTGGTTCGACACTACTTCTGGTAGAAGCCATGTATGCATTGCGAAGAAATGGTAAAATTAGATAAGAATAGTACAGGAGAAGGGACTACAGCTGGTTAACCAACGTTCATACGCAATATCCAGTTGTACTACGAAAAGCATTTAGGTGCTGACTGCTACATCAGTTAGAGTTTGCGACTGAGACGTGGCACTGAGATGCTTACGTGGCGGGCTTATGCAATGGCCTCCTTTGAGACTACGTTCATTGTATATCCTTCTTCAAGGCTGGCTAAAGACACTGTGGTTTGCTCTGCAGAGGTGCACCTAGACAATCCGACATAAAGTTGACCATGTGCGAATACCGGTGTGGGAAGTACCAGACAAACCTTGTTGACGGTCTGACCCTGAGCCTTGTTTATGGTCATGGCGTAGGCCAGGGTCACGGGGAACTGCAAGCGGTAGAAAGAAATGGGTACGTTGGGATCGCCAGGATGATGGAGCTTGATCCGTGGGAGAAAGATGTCTGAACCCTGCTTCGGACCTGTTATGATTAGGCAACGAAGAGCGTTGTCAGTGGTTCCGAGTATAAGCAGGCGCGTCCCATTGCAGAGGCCGCGTCTGAGATGAAGGTTGTGTAATAGAACTACGACTGCGCCAACTTTGAGTTTGAGATCGTGTTGCGGGAAATTGGCCATATTGAATGTGTTCAGAATATCGACGCTGACTTGCTCAGCCCAGTCTTCTGACAAAGCGTCAACGGACTTGTATTGTTTGAGTACTCCAGCTTGGCTATCCAGAACGTGTTGGTTGATCTTCGCCACCGTCTTGTTTAGCGGAGTGATAATCACGCGTTCCGAATAAACGTGGCCGAGGTCAGGCCATGCCTGGCTTCGCAATAAAACGGCTGTGTCGGAATAAAAGTTGTCCACTGTCCTTTTGTCAAAAGAGGCATTGGTGCTGAAATGGGCTACTTTGACGTATTTTAATTGAACATTTTCGACTGGGGCGGTTTGGAGTGCCCCGTCACCGACCTGGAGAAGCCATTTAGCAAATTCCTTTGCGGTGCGTTGAGTGGCCTGATCCATGCTATCACTTTTCAACCTCATATTAATTGTCAGTTTAAATTGTACTACGTTGGTCCAGAGGTAGGAGTTTTTGATACACACCCTAACTGAGTCCTGTAGTGATCCGGATTTAACCACAGGCAGAATCTGACGGAAGTCGCCTGAAAAAAGCACGGTTACACCGCCAAATGGCTGGTCGCAATCACGGAGGTCTCTCATGGACCTGTCTACACATTCGATAGAAACCTTGTTCATCATAGAGATCTCATCCCAGACCATGAATTGGACATGGGCTAGCAATTTACCTGTCGCATCTAACCGAGTGAAGTTGCACGTTGAATCAGGGTCGGCAGAGAGTGGTATTTTTAGGATCGAATGAGCGGTGCCTCCATGGATTAGTAAAAGAGCCGCAATTCCGGATGAAGCAACTGATACAAATGGTATATCATTTGTATTGCAATAGTTGAGACAAGTATTGAGCAAGTAAGTTTTACCTGACCCCCCAGGTCCGTCGACAAAAAGCATTCCACCACTTTTGGATCGAGTTGAATCCACAATCAGATCGAAGATTTCCGCCTGTTCTAGCGTAAGACTTTTCACTGCTTGGTCCATAGCTTCATGAGTTAACGGTTTGTTGTCTACGTTGTCAAAGTCAGTCGTTCCGCCCCCAATTTCAAACAACAATTGGATGTCTACATCGGGAAGTCCAACTTCCCCAAGCGTCTTCCCCATGCTCAATACGCAACTTTCTAGCAGAGATAGGCCACAATTGTCGAGTTGAGCCTGAGTCGGGTGGAGTTCAGGCGAAATTAAGGCCAGTTGGTACTCGCAATCGTCGCATAAATCCTCTACATGTTCTTCCCAGAGGCGAACAGGATTCGCTGGAGGACTGTGGACTAATATAAGCGCGAACATATCCCGCAGCTGCCTTCCTGTCTTCCACGTGGCTGCTTCACTGAGGCAGGCGTCAAAATGTGTATCGGAAAGCAACAGACCGAGACTGTCAGCCGCACTGCGGTAAGTGTTATGCAATTTTCCATTGACAGTCTTGAGAAATTGGAAAGAGGTTGGGCCTCGAACAACTGTTAAAAGAAGCCGAAGGTAATATCGTTCTCCATGGCTTGGCATGGCGAAGTGGAGTCAACTGACGGCTATCGTGTTGTTAATACGCCTCAGCCAAGCTTTGTCGGTCTTGGACCACCAGAAATAAGCGGGCATGTCGCCGTAAAGAAGTGTCCGTATCGGTATGTTGGTATTGGCTATCAAACCACCCGCATTGCACATGGAGAAGAATTCAGTAAGGGTGGTACGCTGGGCTGTGCCGGATTCCATCTGGTTGCGAAGTGTATTTGTGTTATGAAAGTAAACAGTATGTGAATCTTCCAAGTGTAGCATGAGTCGAGTGATCGATGGATAGCGACCTGACAGAGCGTACTTGTACAATCTCCATACAGCTAGTCAAGCATATTCAGTTTTAAATAATATTGAAGAGGGTAGAGAGCGAATAATTACCTTCAGGAGACGCTAAAGTTCTCCCGTCAACAAAGTCGTTTGGTTCATTCTCCACCTCTAAGCTGACGGCGCTGCGATCGTGACCTTTACTGATGTATTTATAAAGGTACTTGATTGATTTCATTCCGAGAGTCACTTCGACGTTAATGTGACATCGAAATTTGAGTAGTAGGAAGGGGTTGTAGGGTACAACATCCCTATTCGTATACTTGTACCCATTTTTCATAAAGAAGCGACCATCGTCGGGTCTTCGGTAAGCTTGGTAAGCATCTTCGGTGATGGCGGTTTGCAAATTGAATTCCTTGGGATATCCGTATTTGCACCTGAGGCCGTTCCAGCATGCTTTTCCCTCGTAGCAGGGTCCATGAAGCATAAACTGAGTAACGCATGAGTAGAGGTCGGGTGATTCTTGAGGGTCAGGCAGGACTGCCGAGACTGATAGGTCGACAGCGGCAGGGGTTTTCGGTGTGGAGCTGGCGTCGTTGATTAGAACTGCATGGTCGTGAGGATTGCCTCGCTTTTGGAACTCAACGGTGTGGACGTATGAAACATTGTAGCCAAGTCTAGAGCGTTTGAAAATGTCCTCATGCATTTCTTGAAGCTTAAGTTCGAATACGCGAGCGACTAAGTCCGGCCTATCGTCAGCTGTCTGGCCCGGCAGCAGAGCGGCAGTAATTTCGGGCCACTTGGGGTTGGCAGTCATCGTGACGAAGAAACTTGGCGGCCCATACGCTTTGACCAGTGCCATGGCGTCGTGATAGAGCTCATGCATGGCTCTGGGACCGCCTATGAAGCCAGAAGGTAGTATTATCCGTTTTCCGACCATAGCGTCATTGTTATTCAATGCTTCAGCAGCGCCGTTGTAAAATGCTGCCCGAATTTTTTTTTGATTCATCTTGTAATATTTCATGCGAGCATTCTCAACACAAACGTACATATCGACTATGTATTCTTGTAAAAGTCTGCCACCTCGCAGTATAGGTGAGAAAACTCCTGGCCGGCTGAAGAGTGTGAAAGCCGCCCATTCAAGATTTGAAACACGACCTGATTCGCCTGCAGTAAAGCAATGTAAGCGGAGTAGAGTAGTAAGCAAGAAGAATTACGTACGACGTTCATTTAAATGCCGGTAATGCTCGTCCCATCCGTGCGACCCAAACATAAAAAAAATCGGGTAACGAAGTGAGAAGTAGTTGGTATTTAGGTCACATATACGTCTGAGTGGGCCATCCCGTCGCCTGAGTATGATATCTCGGTCTTCTGATCCAATGTCGCCGTCGCCTTGGATCACAGCGGCGACTTCATTACATGTAGGGTAGTTATAACGGTTGGGGTCGCGGCCTGATAAAGACATGGATTTGATCTTTATGGTCTTGACACCGCCTGCGTCGAGAACCTCCTCAGCTGACTTGTACAACTTAGCAAACGGATTATGCCTATAGAGGAATTGTTGAAAAGTTTTGATGACATTGGTGTTGAGACCGCCGCCGGCGCGTTTGTTACGACTGTGTGCTTCTTCGTCAGACTGGTCCCCATACATGAATATTTGAGCGAATTTCCTTGGTATGCCCGGTGCGGGTAAAAGTGAGCCAATGCGATGTGTTAAACGTCCCTTGATTTTGTAAGTCCAGGAACCACCTTTGCCTGCAACACTGACGTCTTGCTTCGTCCCAGTTGAAGCGAAAGACAGGGAATTATTGTATTGGCGGATATCTTGCCTGAATTCCTTGGAAACTGTAATCAAGTATGTCAGGAGGTAGATGTACTTAACTTGTGGCGAGTAGCTGACTCACTTATATCTTGGTCGGACAATAATGCCTTGAGGAAGTCAGGCGTTAGTTCGTTTTCAAAATTGGTGCTAGGTAATTTGACTGCGCCTTGCTGGCAGCACGCCGCGTAGACAGTACTCAGAGCAGTCTTGGTCCCGGGTTGTCTCTCCAACTTCCAATGAAGAGCTGCACAGTACGCGCATGGGTCGTCACAAGGGCCAATATTGTAAGGTATTTCTTCGCCGAAGCGTCTTTTGATTGAAGATTCGGTATTGTCATCTGCATTTGTGACGGCCGGACCGTGGTTAGGCATAGTTCTGAGTATACTGATTATGTTCAGATATCTGTACCTGTGTTGAACAGGCGAGGGAAGATAGGCCTGGTGAGCACTATGATAATTATGGGGAAGGAGTGGAGGAATAATAACGAATGAACCTGATAATGAACTATAGATCGCCGTTCGACTTGATAGAGAATAGTTTCCAGTGTTTGTGGAGGCTGTGAAAGTCGAAACGTATTTGGAGGACTGACGGTTCAGGGGTGAGCCGAGGGATTTACTCGCTAAGTATGGCAGGAGTGAGCTTTGGGGAGTTGTTGGTGTTACAATGTTGGTGCGGAGCGGGACAGACGACCAAGGGTGTGGTGAAAGGTAGAGGGAAAGATAATTGTATTGTGGGTAAGGTTGCCTGTAAAGGGGTGGCAAGTTGATTGGGTTGTGAGTATGGATGCGCGCCGTGAGCAGGAGTCAAGTCGTGGGTAGCGTGTATATATAAGGCAGCGCGAGAACTGGAGCGCCATTTGCAACATACATCGTATGAAAGACGGTGAATGGCTGAAAAGCTGTTGAGCAGTCCACGTCCAAATAGGAGATGAACCAGTCCAGGCATCACGATGAAGCGGCAACAGACTTACGGGAAACGGGTGGTACGGTTGGAACTGATGGTCACAGGCTGGAAATGTGTAGAACTGGTTGGAACCAGGCCCAGGCCAATGAAAAGGGCGATGATTTGAAGGCGAAATGATGTTTTGTTTGAAGAATGTAGTCTGATTTATGGATGGGATCGCAATTGTTATGGACCGATCCATTTTGTCGGTGTTAATTTCGTGGTAGCAACAACAACTGCTGCATGCGGCGTCAAAACGGTTATGACAATGAATGTCCAGGTAACCGTTTGCCAAGGTGGCGGGGAGTGTAGGTCCTGAAAATGCTCGTGAGCGCTGAACAAAGCGAGTGGCGTGCGAATTCAAGGTAAAACACCGAATCAAGTGGGAGTCGCCGAATTGAACTCATACGTAAATCATTTGGTTACCAGAGGTAGCGGCACAAAGAAAGGATATGACCAAGACATCATTGTTTATTGACATCATGTACACTATAAGAAAGCTATTGTACAACTGTTACACATTATGAACAAAAAGCGAGATATGAGTTTCTGGTGCGAGCTGAGGTGCGAGAGGAGGCGACACTCTACGTTTCCATGTCGTCTTCAGTATCGGCTTCTTCAACGTCATTGCCGTCTTCGATAACCTCCTCTTCTACCTCAGGTAGCTTAGGAATGGGCTTAGCCTTCTTCGCTTTGGTTGCAGGTGCCTTCTTAGTAGTAGTTTTCTTTGGGGGTGGTTGAACCGGCGAAACAGGCCACTCCTTGTCAGAAATGGTCTTGTCAAGGGCGTCAGGTGCGGGCTCAGACTGAACTGTAGCAGAAGCTTTGCCTTTCCCCTTAGGGACAGCCTTGACGGCCTTGGTGGTGGCGGAAGCTAAAGGCTTTGGGACATGTCTGAGCGTCAAAGTCAGCACGTGCGAAAAAGAATCTGGAGAGAAATGACGTACTTAGCAGGCCGGGTCCTACGTGCAAGTGGCGTTGGGGACTTCAACGGAACCTCCGCAATGGGTAATTTACGTTTGGAAGCAGGTGTTGAACTTGGACCGGGTGTTGGGTTGGTAGAGGTAATGGAACTGGGTACGTGTCTGAATACATAGTCAGTACAAGATCTGGTCGGAGTGTGCTATTGTGACTAACTTAGCAGGCCGAACCCAACCAGCGGGAGTAATTGAGCCAGCAGGGTCCGCTTTAGTTGATGAAATGCCTTCATTACCGGTACAGGGGCTGACACCGGTAACCTGAGATATTAAAGTCAGTCAGATTGGATTGTGAAAGGAGGGAAATCAGGCGGTTGGCTAACCTCAACTATCCAGCGGTTGTGGTCAGAATCCCAGTCCACGATGAAGCCAGTAATAAGCGTTTCGCGACCCGCTTGAACAATATTTTGACTCTTTTCCATGTTGCGAGTTGGACGGATACGGTATTCGATTTCGAAGTACTGGTTTTTACGGAGCTGGGGTTGGCTTTAACAGTCAGCAGTGAATCAATGGGTATAATGAGAGACACTCGTACCTGCGGTTGGTAATCAACATGTTTCATGACAAAACATAGTGTTGACTTTGTATCGTCCTCATCGGGAATGTTCCATCGACTGGACACCACGCCTAATCCTGAGATGGCCGTATTGTTATGGAGTACGCCTGTGAAAGTTTTGCTGGTCCCAACAAATATCTTGTGATTTGCTTCGTAATACATATTGAAGTCGGCTGAATCTTTGTTGGCGAGGAAGCGAGCTTTCATAACGTAACACTCCGAGACGTGTGGTACTTCAAGGGCTGAACAGTACGCGGTAAACTTTCCATCATATTCCTTCTTATTATCGTCATTCCAACCATTGCACGTGATCGCAACAGTGCACGAACGGTAGGAGTAGTTACGAGTATCAGAGGGAGGGAGCTGGTGAAGAAGTCAGCAGGTTGCACCACGGGAGGACAGGGATTAACTCACGACTGCACTGTTCTCGACCACACCGGACACGGTAACGGTGTGGGATTGTTTGACAGGAATGTTTGAACCGGACATTGGAGAAGTAGTTAGGAGTGCTAGATGTAAATGAATCGGCTGATAGAAGAGAAATGTGCTGCACGCAATGTGAGATGGAAATATGGAAGTGGATGGGTACGTATGGTGGGTGATTTGTGACAATACGATGAGCATGTGAATACTATTTATACGCTGAAAAGGCGAGCAGTGGTGGTAATGAAAGAGGGCAAAGTGTCAAAAGGATGATTGCAGGGTGTTGAACCAGTTCGAGGTTGCTAGCGCAGAGCGACACGGCGGGATATGGTACATGGCCTAATGATTTGGATCGATTGGTGGAGGCTGTTTGCTGATCGCAGGAACGGGTTGTGCGGGATCAGCCTGGGCTGGGCGAAGTGGACTGTTCGGGGAGCAGTAAGCAGATACGATTACAGCGGTAAGGTTAATAGCGACGCGGCCGACGATGACGGGGGAGCCACTAAAGGAGCATGACGTGTGTTCATGCGAGCCTGTAATCTGGACTGAAGAGGTTGATAGCAGGTAAAAGGTGGCAGGAGCTATGGAGTTGTATGAAGAATATAGTGACGGTGCGGAGCGGAGTGTTGGGAAGAATGACGGTGGTGTCACGTCCTGGTCAAGACGTAAGTGTGTGCGACCAGGGTTAAGGGTATTAAGTTGTGTGTAGAAAAAAGAGGGCTAAGTAAAGGTAACAGTTTCGAGTATCAAGTAATAAGCCTAAGTACTGGAAATGGGCTGGAGAAGCACTGGTCATAGTGCTGAGTATCAGTATCATGTAGAGAGTATCAGAAGCTGGGTAAAAGTAACGGTATCAAGTATCAGGTAATGGAGCTGAGTACTGGAAATGGTCGGGAAGAACATTTGTTTAAGTATATAGATAGGTTACGGTTTACGCCAAACACTATTCTACCTTGGCATTATCATATTCTGAGATAATTCGATGTCTTTTGAGTATCTATGCGTTAGAGCAGAAGAACATATACCTGGACAGACAGGTAACCTTATGAGCTCTAGGAGAACTCGACAAAGAATAAAACGGCAGAGAGGTTCGACGCCTTACCTGCAACACAGCAGGGAGTAAAACAGAAAAGCTATCCTAGAGATGTGAGCGCTGACCAGGGTACAAATGATTTAAAAGATAGTTAAGAGAAAAAGCTTACTCTGAGATGATCACATTCCTAATGGTGAGGAACAATCTCAGAGCTCAAGAGAGGCTTGGTATATGAGTAAAATGATAGAGACAAAAATTTTCAACAACATAACTCGACTAGACCAAAAAGGGAAATGCCCACATGGCTACACAACTTCACAACACAATCAATCCCAATTGGGAGATATCAGACAACTACTAAATCCTAGACACTCCTGAATCACTCTTTATCTTCCTACCCGATTTGATTTGATGTTGATACTACCTCTTAGTTTAAGCATGATATTCTACATATGATAACCTCCACCGTTCCATAACTTACTAAAGCTTTCCACACCTGATTTCGTGATGTACTTGAAACACATCAGTTCTTTTACCATAACATATTCACTAGAGCATTGGAGGCGGACCACCTCCCTTTTGCAGAAGACGCTACTGTGGATGGAAATTGTTGGATTATTAGATTCAGTCGTAGTAGGTGGTGCTGGTAATGGGATCAATGGATCTGGAAGTGTGAAATGGTTTGGAGGTGGTGAAATTAATTGATCAATCGTTTCAGTCAACAATGCTCCTCTAGAAATCCATTCAACATGTGAAGTTCCAATAAACTCAAGGGGTAATGTGAGAAAAACATTGATTGTAGCGTGATATCATAATGTATACAAGCGTCCAAATTTAAGAAATGAACACTTTTTGATTGTGTTGCATCAGGAAATAAAGTTTTTTGATACCCATATGTTTTCTAAATTCTAAATCTAAATCTTAAAAAAAACTCATTCTACTCATTTTTTCTTTCCTAATGAATGTCCACTAAACTTCATAATGCATGTAAGTATCAGCTCGGACACCTGATTTTCTCCTTTAACTTATCATCTCACTCAATTTCTTGTACATCTGTCTATAAGTAGCAACCTATCACCTGTAGACTCAGTTTTTGACCTCTTATGATGACCAAAAACATCAAGATATTGATAAAACTACAACTTATGGACCTGATATTTTGACTGGAATCTCATGAATCTCATGAAGATTTCACTCTACCCATTCTTTATTCAGTTGATTGGTAATCTCAAAGATATCTGTTATGAACAAAATACCATAAAGCTGATTGATGCTATTGTAAGACTTTGAGACATTCTTCAATTATATGACTTTCATTGCCAGTCAAAATTTTCTTGTTTTTGATACAATGAATGATCTCTGTTTCAAACAAACAAACTTTTTCTCAATTTTGATTAGAATCTGCTTGAGATTTTAAACATAGTTTACTAATACTGCTTTCCTTGTTACAACTTGAAAGTAGACATGTGAACTGTATGGACAAAGAAACATCTTATGAGATAGAGAGGTACAGTCAACTCTGAAATAACCCATACCCCTTGTTTGTTTTTGATACAATGAATGATCTCTGTTTCAAACAAACAAACTTTTTCTCAATTTTGATTAGAATCTGCTTGAGATTTTAAACATAGTTTACTAATACTGCTTTCCTTGTTACAACTTGAAAGTAGACATGTGAACTGTATGGACAAAGAAACATCTTATGAGATAGAGAGGTACAGTCAACTCTGAAATAACCCATACCCCTTGTAACACATACTCTGGCCTAACCCATGCCTTTTTTGGTCCATAATTTCCACTTTTTAGCCCAGAAGACCATTGTGATAACACATACTCTATGAAAACCCATACCTTTTGGGTTCCATAAAAAGGTATGGGTTATTTCAGAGACAACTGTAGTGAGTTTGGAGGAGGGGTTTAACAGGTGTTCTCTGGTGGCACCTGTTGGCAGGGGGACTCAACTAGGAGTCGTTTGAAAGGGTACCCCTCGACTTTAGCTTGAACAAGCCCTCTCTGCGCGGCCACGTCCGCGCGCCTCGCAGAGGGGCTTGGGACTAATCGTGATTTCCTGGCACGGAGACTCCACGAGTTAAGTGCACTTATGTAGTTTTTTGCTTTTTCCCGTTTTCCTCACTGATAAACACAACTTTACCTTGCAGGAAAAATTGTTTGTATTTTTGTTCTACATGTGTTTCCATCTTGATCTCCTGGTTATCACAACTTCATCACCTTGATCATGAATCGAGTTTCCAAGCTCTTATGTCCCATATGTAAATGGATGTACAGCCTGTATTCACATCGTACGTGATTTAAATATAAGGATGTGCAAAACATCCGCTGTATTTGCCGCAGGCAGAAACTAGCGTACAAAAAGTATTGAAACAGACCACAATACAGGCGGGTGTTGTAAGAATGTTGAAGCCACATTTCTGGCCGCATCAGATGGTTTGTATACAATCTGAGGCTATGGGGATGTGTAGAACAAAAATATGAACAATTTTTCCCGCAAGGTAAAGTTGTCTTTATCAGTGAGGAAAGCGGGAAAAAGCAAAAAACTACATAAGTGCACTTAACTCGTGGAGTCTCCGTGCCAGGAAATCACGATTAGTCCCAAGCCCCTCTGCGAGGCGCGCGGACGTGGCCGCGCAGAGAGGGCTTGTTCAAGCTAACCCTTGACTCGACTACAGGTCGAAGGATACAGGGTTCCGCGGTGGAATCAGATACTGGACAAGAATTGAGATCGAATGATTGCTATCAAACGTGTTGATCTAATATTAATGTCCGCAAAGCTGAAAATTCTCTGCAACTTGGCACAGCCAGTATCACATACTGATCAATCGCCTTTGCAACATCAATCCCGGTTCTCACATCCGCAGGAAGTCTTCGCAGCAGTGAGAGTTGAAGACGTACAAGAGGTTATACCAGTGAGTTCTGTAGTTTCAAGACAGGGGCTGACCTGGTTGACTTACGTCTTGATAGCCAGCACTAGCCAGCAGCGGCAACAAGATATCAAGGTTGCTAGGCAATTAAGCCAAAAAATAACGTGTTTTCAAATTCAACAAAAAAACAAAGACAAACTTGGAAACAATATTTTTGAACCAACAAGCTTAGAGAAACATCAATAAAGGTTTTGTAAACGAATTTTGAGAAAAAAAAGAGAAGAGTATGTAATATGATTGAATGAGTCAAAGCAATGATATTGAGAATGCGAGTAAATGATTTAATTGTTTTGAGTGATGCAATATCAATTGAAAGGCTAAAAAAAAGTAACTTGTGCTTGTTGATGGGAAGAAGAAATAAATGAGATGCTCAACTTTAATACTATACCCAACCATGAGTGCTGGAAGTACTCAGACCATTGCTTTGTGATTGTGCCATGCGGCTGCTTCCATCCAAGACTTTAGGAGATTGGATGGATGTCTGATTGTGGCACAATAATATTGTTTTAATCCTTCCATCCAAGGTTTTGGAACATTGAGGGGAGGTTCAATTGATGAGGAGGTGTTATGATATTGTTTTGATCCTCCCATCCAAGGTTTTGGAAGATTGAGGGGAGGTTTAATTGATGAGGAGGTGTTATGATATTGATTTGATCTTTCCATTGAAGGTTTTGTGGGATCAAGTGGATGGTTTATTGAGGCGTGATGATCTGCATTTGGATATCACATAGTGGAAATATATTGATGGTGTGCTTGGTTTGGTGATCAATCATGAATTAAGCATAGTGATGGAGGTGGGCCAACCAGTAATGCAAATTGTAACACCCAATAATTTGGGGGAAAAGAAGGAGTGAAAGGTGTAAGGCCTGGAAAGACCTGGCCCCATCTAACTAAGTGGCAGCGCTGCTCACTACTTTTGGTGCTGCAAGCCAGATTTGCTGGATCTAATCATTCTAGCAGAAAGTGGAAATATGACAAGTGAACACAATGTGATAGCCGCTGAAATGCCTTTAGTAGCCTTCTGGGGTACTTCCAAGCTAGGTGAGCTTGTCTCAGAGGACCCAACAAAGATATTACCGACCTGGGAAGACATGGAATGGGGTCCAACAACTGAACCAAGGGAGATCCAACATATACACTTACAAGACCAAAAATCTTATTTTGCCCCTGTCTGAGTGTTGATATTACTCCACATATTTCAACCTAGATCACCAACAGACCAAATCCTTGCAATGGAGGATGAAAAAGGACTGTTATTCAGAAAGTCATTGTTAATCAAGATATGCATGAGTCATTCAGTCTTGAGGACCAAAGGCTGAGGAGGCTTAGAACAAGTTCTATTTGGCTGGTGACAATCTTGGTTTGTATTATGTAATCCACAGTGGTTGTCAAGATGACAAAGGTCATTGGGACTCAGTCGTATTTTACAAGGCTGATGAGTAGGTGTAGCATTGGAAGAACAAAAATTGAAAGCTCAAACTGAGGAACATCAATCAAAAGAAGCTTCATTTGCCACTTCAAGGACCAATTGGACTGTCACGTTGACTACAGTAAGAGAAGCAAGATCTGCATGACAATGGGTTGTTATGTAATCAAAATCTTGTCCAAGTCTGTTAAGAAGCAAGATAGCCAACAATTTAGAGGACAGATCTATCTCTTTGTATTCCTGTAGCATATTGTGCTAATTGATTATGAAGGTTTCTAAGATGTGTGATGCAATCAGACAGACATTGACCAGCATTCAAGCTGGCAGTCACAATACCACACATGGTCACAGCATCAAGAACACTACCACTGCTTCCATGAGCCTTCACGACTTTAGCATAGGCCTCCTTGGGAATATCAGTCAACTCAATAAGCACCTTTTTTGAAGCATTACGGGATTTCAAAATTGACTTCATTGATAAAAGGTACAAAAGATCTGATATATAAAAACATAGAACAGGCCTGCATGAGTTATGGTCTCTCATTTTATCTGTCAGTTGGGTCCCTTTGCTTAAAGTGAGGCTCCGGTTGCTTTTGCCTGTCCCGTTGGTTTTCTTTTGATATCCAGTTTTTGTTGCGGACTCCACTCAATACACAGTTGCTTTTATTCCTTTTTCCACTTTTTTATAGCAGCTCACACATTTGGCCTTCTGTTTACTCATTCTTTTGATATTGAGTAACTACATAGCATGTACATTGACTTAAGTCGATCTTTTTTATCATCTACTGTATGTGTATGCTGTGCTTCCTATTGTACTTACCTTTTGTTTGCACTTCTTGTGATTTTGCAATGTGCTGGGTGCTTTTTGATTTGGTACTGGACAAGATGTTGGCCCACATCTTTGTCTATAAAAGACACCCTCATATCCCTCTTCCAGAACAAATCCAAATTGAAATTCACCAATATCACCTTTGAAATCATATCCTGCTAAATTTTCCATTTTCTTTCTATCACCAAACCTTGATCCACATTCTTCCAAGCCCCCAAACCCTAATTCAACATTTTTATCCTCTGCTCTCCAATATCACCTCATTTGCCCTTTATCTTGCGTATAGATACCATTATATTAACCTGTTACTTTGTATTTATCTCCTAATGTTGACTATTGTTTTGGCTCCATCAAAAGTGAAAGCTGTGAATGATACACCTACTTGAAGCCTAGAAATATAATTTCTTTTACTTATCTTCCTTAGTAATCTCATTGTCATACTTGATTATCTTACACTACATTTCATTATAACAAGACATCACTTATTTGATTCCTTCTTCAATCTAACAATCTTGCACCAAGGTCTTACATGTTTATTTTAGTATATAAGAATGAATGTTCTCCTCAATAGATTGTTCTCTTCTCTTCTTCATTCATTCTTACTTTTGTTTTGCATACCCATAGGTGCTTTTGCTTTGCACTCTCACTCGTGTTCTCTTACTGCTTACTAAGGACACCCCGTGATCATCAAAGCTTGTACACTTACAAAACCTACTATTCAGATGTACTACCTACAAACATAAAATAGTGGAATATGTTATGTCCTGGGAAAGAAAGTGTTGCAATGAATCTTGTTAAGGACCTTTGAACAGGCTTCATGATTGTACTTACATACTTTACTCATTGTTAAGCATAGGCACTATTCCTTGAATCATTGGGTAATAGGAAAACAATTGACTTCTTGCTTGGTGAAAACAACCTAGACTGTTGAGATGGCTAATTTATGTCAAACAAAAAACTGTGACAAGGCAATGACTACATTTGGAACTGTGGTGAGTTAAATAGACACAATTGGCCTAAATGGCAGAGTAGGTTTCAAATTATATAATTCAACTCTGTGTGGAGTATAGCACCACCAACATATTTACCTCGGATTTTGTAATCCGAGGTATCCTCGGATGCAAAACCTCGGACAGAAGCTTCCCTAGGTTTTGATCCGAGGTAATTCTCAGGGCAAAAAAATACCTCGGGCAAATACCTCGGACAAGGTTTGTCCGAGGATTTGCCTCCAATGATGCCTCGGATTTCTCAACCCGAGGCATCTATGCTGGCAGTGTAGGTTGTGTTTCACCAGTGACCTGTTGCGGGCATGCCCGCGTAGTCTCTAGTTAGAATAAATACATACATGAACAGGGAGAATCAATAGATATCTCAGTAATAGAGCAGTATAAAAATCACAACTATGCATTAGTCATAATCAATAAGGGTGAAAAAGGAACTGAGTCAACAAGAGTTTATCCCACTCATGTGAGATGAGTTTGGGGAGTTTCCTTCTCAGGCTCACAGCCCATCCTTCCCATGAGCTATCACTGTAAACATCATTCAACTTCCCCAATTTGGCAGAGGAAAATGATTAATAGTACAGTTTTTCATAAAAGAATCTAATACTGCACACCTGGGCCATTTCACCCACACTACATATGTGCAGCAAGCTAAGTCAATAGTTGTCTATCATGTACATACAGGTCTGCTCAGTTTTTTGCCCATCAGAATAAATAAATCACATGTTATACCACATGTAACTTTTTTGACTTTGAAATTTTTTTCCCAAAAATTCACTACATATAATTCTGTAGCTGCTCAGGCAATATTGTTGAAGCTATGTCTTAGTAACAGAAAGTGTGTTACATGCAGTTGAGTTGATGAGATCACACCAAAACATTGAGTCAGTGTATGTAGTCAATCTTTTGGAAGCTTTTTTCAATCTGAAAGAAGTTACAGCATGTATTACATATGAATAACTTGTCCTGATGAGCAGATAACTGAGCAGAACTGTATGTACATGATAACCACATATTCACTGAGCCTGCTACACATATGTAGTGTGGGTGTTATGGCTCAGGTGTGGAGTGATAGACCATTTTATGACAAATCATACTCCCAATCATTTTTCCCTGCCCACTTGGGGAACCCGAATAATGTCTGCAGTGTATGGGGTTGAAAATTATTTTCTTATTTGCCTCTTGCAAAAGGCACGCCTTGTAGGATTTGTCCATGAAAAAGAAAGACACGCTCTAAAGGAAATTACCCAAGAGTAAATTGACCAGCAAGACAAACCTTTTTGGAATGACTCATCTCAAAGAGATATTCTCATTACCACATCTAGGTAGATTAATCCCAAAGAAGAAAGACTATGTCACTCTTCATTTACAATCTAGAAGAAGGTCTATGCTTATGTTATATACAATAGGATTACCCCTTCTTGTTTTTGTCTTGCTGTCCTCATTTTCTTTTATCAATTTTTCCCATCTTCTTCACCAATTTCCTCTTACTATACTTTTTCCTGAAATCTCTTACCAAGAGCTTTACATACTTAAATTGAACAACCTAATATAATTTTTTGTCCGACCCCCCCCTCCCTACTTGTTTAAACGACTGACAGAACTTTCCAAACAACTGACAAGAACTCTCTTATATTTTAGATAGCGCACACCATGAATGTGTAGAGAGTTCATCTACAGGACCTTTTCTTCTCACAAAGAGACCTCCTTATGAACTCTCCACAGAAGGTATATACTAACAGGAGAGAGTTCTACCCACCTTTGAGTGGTGAACTCTCCACGTAGTATCATATGTACACTATTGAGACATCCAGGTTTTGAGGACGTAAGAACTTCCTTGAAACCTACCACCCACTTGTGTTCTTTCCCTCACTTAGTTAAAACTAAGCAAGGGAAAGATATCCAATTGGATTATATGAGAGTCACAATTTGAGAATGGACAGGCGCTGCCTGATAAAATAGGAAATAGAAGGTGATTCTGAAGGAATCACAACAGTGTGAGTAAGGGAGCTATAAGGCCAAATATCATGTAGGAGTGATGAGAGAATGTTTTTTACCTGAAGGAATCATGACAATGTGAGTAAGGGCGCTATAAGGCCAAATATCACGTAGGAGTGATGAGAGAATGTTCTTCACCTGTTGGAAGGTGGTGAGTAAGAGAATGAAAAGATGTTTGAGTAAAGAAACAGCAACAAACACGAAATAACATCTCTTATATATACAAACAGACTCTAGACATAGGTTAACAAACATACATTGTTGTTGTGACTCTCACATGCCGCATTGGGATTAGTGGCAACATGATTGTGGAACATGGAATAAAAGAAACAAATGGAACAAGGCTTAGTTGAGGAGACCCAATTGGGATTAGGAGGATAGTAAGTAATGCGTGAAGAAACCTGATTTTAATACTGTCCACTTCCAAAGGGTAAACAAACAGGATTGGCAGAGACCAACTCCCATACATTTCTTCAACTTTGGGACCACCCCCAAACCACAAAATGTAGGCTGCTAACACCTTGAGGAAAAGGTTGGTAATCCATATTTGTGGTAGGAAAGTCCTAAGAAGACTAGGATCATATGTCTACTGGAGATACATCCCCTACACAGAAAGAAAGCAGGTCACTCAGATGCAACTAACTTGTAACATGCTCTATGGACAATGGAAAAGAAGATGATCACAAAACAAATGTTGATGTTTGATAGAAAGGTAAACAGTGTAATGAACCCTTAAATACTAAAGTTGAACATTGAGATCATAACACAGGTGTATGATTTCATAAAGAGAAGGAAAGAACATTGATAACCATATTGAAGCATTGATGATTCAATTGATTATAACTGTTTGAGTTAGATTATCATCTCTAACTATAAATTTGATTAAATAAATTACACCCATGAGTATCAGGTTGTCAGCTTATGCTAAGCTGTACACTGATCAAAGATGCATGAAAATAATGGAATCAGTTGTGGGTTGTTTGGCGATGGGCACACGTGCTACCTATGGAGGCCTGGGGGCCTAAATTTCAGAATTTGCGTTTTTGGCCCGGGGCCAGAGAAAATGAGGAGTGAGCACTGTGGGCGGCCACACACGGCGCTGAGCACTTCCACTGGAAGGCTCCCCGCTCTTTTTTGGAGAGAGAAAGATAATGAACTAAACATGTTGCACCACTTGGAACTTAAACCCCGTGTCTGACAGGCAGGGTGGTGGGCGGGAAAGAAAAAATTGATAACTAAATAATAAAAAACTGAGTCTGAAGGACAAATTTTGAAAATAACTTATACTATAATAAAGGAATAATGATGATGAAAGTTCAATTGAAAACTATACTAATGTCATAATTTCTTTGATTACAATTTTGATAATTTGAAAAGATGAGGAAGTGACGACAGACAACAAAAAGGATAGAGAATGAAGTGAGACGTAACCATACTTGGCTAACCTCCCACTCTACCCGTTGGGGTGAGTTTGATGTGTAGCTGATTTTTGTTGGTGATCTTTTTAGAGTAGCTACTTGCATTCCCAGATGCCAAGATTTCACTCCCCCTTTCACATATTCCACTTTGTTAACACCCTGTGCCAACCTTGACTGATGGTAGAGAGACCATAACCGTTTGAGTTTGATAGAGAAACGAGAACAACAGTAAACAGCGTATTGACTCTTTTAAATAAGAAAATCTAACAGTGACATTATGACCATTTTGACACAAGTCTCTGATGTGTAGAAGAAAAGAAAGGAATATTGATAAGCCAAAGATTACCATCAAAATTCAGGAGCTTCCTGCAACGCGTTGAATATCTCTTGATCACAAGCTTCAGGGGTGTCGGACGTTTCTAATTTTTGAAAAAAGAGAAATGACCATTGTAAATCGTTGTTGGGACTGTTTTTTTTGCCTGGCCATTTTTTCTATCAACATGAAAATGTGGGGACCAAGATCAGAACACGTTTCTCATCTTGAGACTTGGGATTGCAGGACTCACACAGGGAATTGGACATTCGACATTGCATTCATTGCTGAGGAAGTTTCCAAATGAATATTCAGCTTCAGCCTCAGGTGCCCTGTGTTCAGATCAATAAGAATGTCCAGCTTTCTATTAGTTGACGGAGATGATGACCAGAGCCGCTCATTGGCTAGACACATACTCCTTAAGTGCTTGTGCTTGCTTCACCTGGCCTTTGACGACCCTTGTCATGACCTGTTGAAACCAAGAGTTTCAGCTTGCGGTGGATCATATCAAGTGACCGGATTAGATGAGATTAGATGATATCAAACTTACAGCACAGCTCTTGAACTTTACACACGATATACTGTTTTTAGCCGCGTGTCTGGCAGCACTGCGTCATCCACCCATTTGAAATAAACATCATTTGTTTGTCAGTGTTGGGTGCAGAGGCCGGGTTGATACCACAATCATGTTGTTTGTGACATGACACATTACATTGATGATAAGAAATAGTGATCAACTAACGCTTGGCAGTCTTTGGTGTTTGCAACCATCTTCCCGCCGGTTGACGTGTTGCATGTCGCAGTGTTAGTGTTTGAACCTTTTGAATTTGATCCACCGCTGCCATTCGGTGGTTTCTTTCTGCCCCTTTTATTCTTTTTATGACTCTTTTTATGACCATTTTTATGACCATTTGACTGATCCTTTGACTGATCCTTTGACGTATTCTTTGTACCATCCTTGCCAGCCTTTGTACCATCCTTGCCAGCCTTTGTACCATCCATGCCAGCCTTTGTATCCCCTTTGTCACATTTATTGTTAGACGATTTATGTGGTTTCTTAAATGTATCTACACATTTTTCCTTGGATTTATCCTTTTTATCATTATTACCTTTAGGTGGTTTCTTGGCTTTATCGTTTTTTCGCCTTTGCAATACGTTATTGGACGGGTCATCTGATTCGCTATCCGACAAATCATCTTGACCACTATATGAGGACCGTCTTCTCTCGCTGCTTCTGCTGAAGTCCTGGCTGTCTGGATGAACCCAACGCTCTTGAAGGCGCCCGCTCATCTTAGTTTCTCCGACCTGGAAGAAGAGATGAGAGAGGATGGGTAAAAACAAGATGAACTTCATCATGAGATAGAAAAAATTGAATTTGTGAGAATTATTTCGTACGATTAACGGTGAGACTGAGCACTAAAAGGTGATTCAAGTCGAGTGAAATAGTCAATCAATGAAGGCTGATGGCAGGGAATATGAACATCACCCCAGCGGTGGCGAGACTTTAAATTATCAGCAAGGATGGCCTTATTCATGATAGCGGTTACCCAATCTAAAGGTTGTTGGGTAATTGAACACCCGCAATCCATTCATTTCACCTCACTGGAAACAATGTCCTCAAAGCGCAAGATCTCTGCAATTTGGCACAGCCAGTATTGCATACTGATAGATTTCGTTCGCGACTTAAATTCCGGAATTCACATTCACGAGGAATTCTCGCGACGGTGAGCTTTGAAGGAGTACATGAGGTCATACCAGCGACCTCTGTGGTTTCAAGACCGTGACCTACGGGATGATAGCCAACAGCGGCAACCAAATATTGAGGTTGCTGGGCAATCGATCATCTGCAATTCATTCATCTCATCTCACTGGATATACACTCCGCAAAGCTGAAAAATCGTCAAACCTAACAAAGTCCCTCGTCTTGAGCTGTACTTCGTTTGAGCTGTACTGGCCAGCTCAAAAACGAGGGACTTTGTTAAGTTTGAAAAATCGTTGCAACCTAGCACATTCAATATTGAAGTGCTCTATTAACCTCCTTCGCGACGTCGATCCTACATGACCTTGTATTGACTACAAAGTGAAGTAGCCGGAAGTATTGGCATTTGTATCACACCCAGTCGGAATCTTCACTCTCATTCTCTACATTGAGCAATCTATAAGAACTTCTGCTCATACATAGTGAACGTTGGGCACTTACTATGAATCGAGAAGCGGGAATCAGGGTGGCAGGGTGATTTTCTCGTATTTTCTTAACCTCACCCGCATACATACACTTTTCTCAGACTCTAGGAAGCCAACTCTAAGAGCAGTAGTGTCTTTTCACTAGTAAATTCCATTTTTATGCACTTGTGCCATTCTGCGTATGTCGAGACTATCCGGAGTCTCTCTCTTTGTAAATCATCTGTAAAACCTATCGCGGGTAGCTTCTGGAGTCCCAAAACATTGAGCGCGAGCCAAATTTCCAATAGCGATGATCAACAGGCGTCTGGCCTCCAGAAAGTCGTGGGATTACTCTAGATAATTTGATAAGGCAGACCCACACCTTTGATTGCCAACTTGTACTAGTACAACATGTCAATGAAAATCGAATTGAAAAAAAGGAAGAATTTTAAAATTTTAAGATGATTAACTTTTTCCCTTTAAACTTCTTCACCCCATCCTTCATCTTCATCTCTATTGAAATTACCCCGTTTCATCATCTCAAATTCAATTTCTTCACCACCTAAAACCACTTGTTCTTCTTCTTCTTCTTCCTCATCATCATCATCTTCCTCTGCTCCACCACCACCACCTAACAAAGATGAATGGAAATCTTTACTTTTAATTGTAGAAGCTTTACTATTCTTGATGCCTTGATCAGCCTTCTTTTGTTTTTGTTTTTGGTTTTCACTATTTGATGATTTTTTGGTTTTACCTTTACCAAATAATGAATCTGCAATTTTATAATTAATCTTAGATGATAATTTTTTCTTTGAATTGATCATATTCATGACAGATTCTCCAACAGTTGCACCACCGGGATTTTCCGAATCTCTTGGTTTTGCTTTAGGTTTCTATAAATCAAACAAACAAACAAAAACAAAGAACAAGTTTAATTAAATGAGGATGAGATCAAGAAACCAAACTAAGACTCACAGAAGCGTATTTCTTAGTAGGTTTGATCTCACCAGTGGCTTCTCTTTCTTTCTTCTCAGCAAGTTTTTCTAAATATTCTCGATTTAATTCCATCCAAACTCTAGTTTTGATTTCCACTTCGTTTTCATTCAAAATAAAACAATCTAATTCATCTTCATCTAAATCTGATAAATGATCATCAAATTGATTTTGTTGATTGATTTCTCTTTGACTTAATTCGTTTTGAAGTAAAGATCCTGTACCTGAAATTAAATGAGCCTCTACTTCTTGTGTGATCGCTTCATCTAATCGGTTCTCATACCATCTATCACTTTCTTCTGCATCTTCATCAAATCTACGTTCTTCAATGATTAATGATGCTTCAGATTCTTCATCTTCGCCTCGAACTTTCGCTTTTGATTGATCTGGATTTAATTTTCCAATAGCGAGTTGTGTTAATCCTCCTTGGCTTGAGTTTTGGGTATTAGTAGGTGGAGGTGCCGTGGATGAGACCGATCGACTTATCTTCACCTGATCTTCCTCTTCCTCTTCCTCTTCACTTTCACTTTCAGATTCTTCATCACTCAATTCCTCTTCTAATCCATCTTCATTCTTTTTAATCTTCTTTAATTTCTTATTCTTCTTTTTCTTCAACTTTCGTTTTCCTTTTTGAAAAGCCGGAGGATTCTCAGCTTCTTCTAACCATTGGTTTCTAAAATCTTCAACAGTCATTTTACCCGTTTCAGATCGTTTGAATTCATCTAATCTTTTCTTAATCGTCACATCTGCAATTTTCACCACTTGAACGATTTCTAAAACTGATCGTTTGAAATTATTCATTCTTGCTGCAATCAATAAACAAGCTCCTGCTATACCTGATGGTCTTCTTCCTGTCGTAATCCAATCATGATCAAATCTTTTCACTAATCTTGTGGCATCATATGCTACTTTTTCTGTTTCTTCTCCAAATTCTAACAAAGCTGCAAATCTTGAGATGTACAATGATGGATCGATTAGTGGGATTTGGGTCAAACATAGTTCTTTAACTAGTTTAAGATATGTTGCTCCTACAATAAACACATTGACCTATTTTTGATATCAAATCGGGTGAAGAGTCGAGTTAGTGAGATGGAAAAGGTAATTCGATGATTGATTAGATATGAAAACCTCTTACCTGGAGAAAATCACTAATGTCAATTAACATCGTGGGTAATTTATTCATTCGACAAGCAACATAAATACAACTAGCCAGAACATAAGGACTTCTTCTTCCCATCACTAAATCAAATCAACCAAAACCAAAACCAAAGCAAATCAGTTTTTGAAAAAAAAACGGGTAAATGGATGAAAGAAACATTCAAAACGAACCAAATCCATTTGATAAAGCCAAAGTAAAAAACCTATGAGCCGATTCAGCAATCACTTCACTTAAATTCAATCCATGAGCCATGGACAAAAGATTCCTTAATCCGTTTTCTAAAGTTTGAGCTCTAGATTCAGCAGAAGCTTGTGGTCTACCTCTAGGTCCCACAATCCTAGCTCTAACTATTAAAACAAAAAAAATCAAAGTAATCAATCAGATTTCTTTTGGGGTTTGTTTTTAGTAGTACAAAGAAAAGAGAATGAAAACTTACGATCAGTTGCACCTAATTGTGCTCCTTGTAGTACAGCAGCACCATTTGAAGATTCACCAAAAGTCACATCAGATACAATCGTATTCTCATCTACAACATAACCACAAGCTATATGATGAAGAGAACAAAAACGGATGGAAAGTTTTTTTAAAAAATATGATATCAGTTTCTTATTTGTAGTCAAATTTATTGTGCTGTAGAAGTTAGATTTGGAAGATTTATAAATTTTTAACTTAACTAGTACAAACTACATTACCAGCAGCTGAATCATATTCAATCACAGCTGAATCACCACAAACTGGACAAATCGGTTTTCCCATTTTATAATTTCGATTTTTGCAAAGATGATAGGTTTAAAGATATTAAAGGTTTTGAACGAGTTAGTCAAATGGTTATTTTAAGATGGTTGCTGTTTGATTGAATAGTTTACGAATCGGATGACAGATAGCTTTCGAAACGTAGCACGGAAAGTCAGGTGGAAAGAAGAGGATGGGGAAATCAGGTTCGATTCCCATCTGATGGTCAATAGGTCAATGCGCTACCAGCCAGCACATGTCATAGATGGCAGTACAGCTTCTTGACATCTGCTGGTCGTGTGGTACCGTGTCAGGCTGGGCTTTTCCTGTATTGCCACATCACCCAACTCAAGACCATCTACCACACTTTCTTCAATTGACCTGCCACCTGCCCATTTTTCACTCAACTTCCACTGGATCCACCATGCCACCAGACCTCGACCTCACATGCCAGACTACTGCAAGCAGCACAACCAGTACAAGCATGGAAATTGGGGTGAGTTCTATTCATTTCTCCAATCAACCATTACCATCTCTCTGCCAGTAAAACCAAATCCTCTTCTGTATATCTGAGGACCATCACCTTTGGCCCAGGCCACTAATTGTACAAAATCTTTTGTATGTATTCAATTTTGAATACATATCTCCTTTGTTTTAACCACACAGATCAAATAAAGGTGGTGGTCCAATCAAAATCCCACACAATACATATGACCCTGCCTGTGTTGCAAGTGGCTAAGGTTTATAACTCAGAGATGAGATTGCTCAGCAAGATCATCACCAAAGACTGCCATGCTTGAGCTCTTGGAATCAAATGGTTCTGTTGCATCCCTTCCATCCAGAATTATCTCAAAAGAAATGAATATTTACTTGACACAGACAATAATTTGGTGCAACACAACCCTCAAGAATTTCAAAACCAAACCTGGTGTGTCTCTGATCATGAGATTTTATAAACTTTGATCTGCAATCCTTCCAAAACAAATGTACATAGTAGCAGGTGAATTGAAATTGTGATTCACTTTTTTTTATTTCATGTGTTCATCAAGTTGAAACTTGAGATAAATCAATGACAAAAACATCAATTCAAGAACAAATGAAAGAATTCACATTTTAAATTCTCTTTAGCATGTGATTTGATACATTCTGATTGTAACTTTATTGGATATAAGGTACAGGAAGAGAAAAAATGAAATATATGTAAAGAAAGCAACAGGGCAAGAAAATGATAAAGAATATCTTTAGAAAGATGGTAACCACTTGGTCTATAATACATTTCATGTTCCTTTGGTAAGCAATACCCAGCTGCATTGTATTCTGCCACCAGAAGTTTGGGTGTGATGAACTCCAAAACCATATCTTAAATAGTTCTTCAATGTCACATTTCTCTTGAAGTGAGCTTTGATTGTGGAGAAGCACATGTCAAGTGGATTCAACTTGGGGGTTACATTGGGAAACCTACTAATCTAACACCTGTGAAAGGTATCAATGTGAGAATCATAATTTGTGTTCATGATTGATTAATCCAACTTACCAGCAGTTTTGAAAAGCTTTTCAATACAGCCACTGTGATGAATCACACAGTTATCCATGAGAAGGATCAAGTTCAAAGATGGATAAGGGCCCATTAGAGGAAGCCATATTGGTTTCATGAATCAGTAGGATGAAAGATTAAAAAGTTAATAAGAAAAAGATCACTGACCAGCTGGAATTCCAAAACCATTGTGAATTGGCTGAAGTCAATGGTACCTTCACAGACAGAGTGGTAATCAAACCATATAGTCCAATTGCAGGAAGCAAGGAGTATCTTTTTGGGTTAGAGCCCTTGACCCAATTCCAACCGGATGTTGACCCTCATCAAATCAAACTCAAACATGGCACTCTCATCTTTTGACCAGTGAAGACAAGGAGTTCATCAGGGTTATTCTTCATGTCATTGATAAACTTGGCTGTCTTGTAGAAGTCCTCAAAGAATTCAAGGTCTTAGCCTTTTTGAAAGTAAGGTGAAGGTGTGTGTTAAGTTAAAGTGAAAGTTCTTTGCAAGACACTGGTTTTATTGTAGATTGTCACACAGATCTTGTCAAAAAGAGAAAGTTGGCTTGCTACAAGTCCTTTGATGAAAGCACAATCTTCATCATTGAACATGAGAGGTGTGCCTTGTGTCTTATACTGTAATGGATCCATTGTAAGGACTCGACATGGATGAGGAGAGATGAGAGTAGACTAATGATGTCCTTCTAGTACTAAGTAGATTGCAACGTGAGGATCATAGTCTGTGCTTGAGAGGGTACAACAGATGAGAGCAAACATGTATAAGCATATGTAGAGTAGCCTTATACAGCTCATAACACCCATGTAGCTGATTGAGTTTGCTGATAGATTGCCATCTATCTGTCAAAGGTACAATCAGTTATGTTCTTGCTAGGAATATCTTGGATTTTGTGCTAAGGCCATGATGGTTGCCGAGTATTTTACAAAGACCACGCTGCCAACATTTTTACCTTGGATCTCTTCTCAATCTGAGGTATCTTTGGGTCTAAACCCTTAGACAGTTCTTGTCTGAGTAATGATCTGAGCCATTTTGTGGCGCATAAGATTTCCTCAGATTGAAACCTTGGATAGGATTTATCCAAGGATTTGCATCTGATGATGCCTCAGATTTCTCAACCCAAGGCAAATATGCTGCAAGTGCCATGAAAAGATTGAGTGGTTGAGTGAATGAAGTGGAGTTGAAAGAAGAAAGCCAAGTGAATAAAGATGAGTTGAATGAAGAAAGTTGAGTGAACAAGAAGTCAGTTGAATGAAGATGTGTGAGGAGTGGAATTGGGTGGTGGATGATATTGAGCTGGGACCGGGTGATGTAGCACAAAACCATTGGTAGGCTGGATGGGGTTTTGTGTCAGACCTGCGTTTGAGTGATACTCACATTGGGGCCAATTTGTGATTTTTCCAGAAAAAAAATGTCAAACTTTCATGCAGATGCAGTATGTGACAGATACATAAAATTTGAAAGATCATATGCTCATAATGTAGATGTTCATTTTATGCATAAATTTGATGCACATGTACTACAAGATTTTCATTTCAATCACCTGAAAAGCAATTTTTGAAGTGTTTAAGTAGGTATTATTCTGAAGCATAAAAAAGACATCTTCTCTTCATCACATACAATCCTTTTTTTGAACGGACTCAAATACAGTCAAACCTGCACAAATGCATACCCGCGCAGGTGCATAACCCGTGATACTGCATAGAAAAAATCTAGAATCTTGATACTTTTTACTGCCAAATTTGACAACAGAAATGCATAACCTGTCATAATGCATAGCAAAAGTCTTCCACCCAAATTATGTGTTTGCGCGGGTTTGACTTCAGACAGAAGTACAGTCTATCTCACTAAGCTTGACAAGAATTCCAAGTCAAACCACTTGAATTTTCTGGGCAAACCTTGATCAAATATTTTGGAAGTTGACTGTAACAGCTACATATTTGAGGGGGAAATGCCTTTAAGAATGAGTTTTTTCATATTTGGTTTGGAGGAGATGATCTAGGTGTGAAGCTTCTGACTGTTCATGCTGCGGACCATCTCAGATCATTTCTTTCTGAACTATTCAGATGAGCTATATACCTGATGGTTACATGATGTGTTCCTCAGCTTCTATCATGATAGTTCTTTTTAAAGGCTGTCCAAATTCAATCTTGTGATTTATCTGAACAGGGTGATCTTTAAGAGCCACCTACCAAAGCAAATTCACCTTAATCATTCAATTTTGACCAAGCCTCAAATACTACACCGCATTACCACCCTTTTTGCTTGGTCCTTGGGAAGGTTGGATGTGTTTTCATGGTCCCTGGTCACATTTGTGAGATTTGAGCAACAGCTTTGACTCCTTTTTGTTTTGGAGTTCACAATGATTTTGGTGGGTGCCTGATCACATAATACACGTCCGATCACTGAGTACCGCGTCCTTTGACCCGACCCGGTAGCATTCATCGACACCATATTCTCAGACTCTTGATTCGACACGGTCACGACTCACCACAATCTCCTGCATACACTCAACTTTCTCAAAACCAGTCAACAAAGCTCAGCAAAGACGAACACATCAATCAAACCATCAGAATGTCAAAGACTGACGAGAATAATCCAATAATACCAAAGATGACAATACCCACTACGATATCAAAGTTAGTCAAGACTTGACTCAATTTTCTTTATCAGATCTTATCATTTCAAGAAGATGCTGATTCCTTGGCATTTTCTTTTTCTTGTAATAGTCAACAACCCTCAAACAAATTACTTGAACACGTTTCAAATCAATTAATCTCAATTGGGCATTTACGTAAACCATTAGATTCGAATAGTTTACAAACATTAGATGGACAAGAAAAACTATTCAAAGCGATCTTTTCTTTAATTACTTCACATCAAGTTAAGATCTAATCCAAAAAGATAATTATTGTGAATATTTATACTAAAAACCTTTCGTTTTCTGGTTGTATTTCTTTTAGGGTGTTATGAAGAGGAAAGAAGATGAACTAGATAAAGAAAGAGAAATGAGATATGAATTTGATAGATTAGGTAGATTATTAGAAGTCTCTCAATCCGAAAAAACTAAATCAATGCAATTAGCTTCAACAAATCAATCCAAAATGTCGTCAGTTTTTCAAATCCATTTTACAACACTTGAATCTCTTTCATCTCAAATACATACAACCTGATTTATGATTGATTGATTTTTTGAATATATACCTATAGCGCAGCTTTGAAAGCATTAGAAGAGGAGAAAAACTCGCATCGTAAAACTAAAGAAGATATGAATAAGCTAATCAATTCAGAAAAATTAATTCGAAGTTCATGTTCACAAGAAATCAAAAGAAGATCTCAAGAAGTAGAAGAATTTCAAAAAAGAATGAATAAATTGTCAAATTCAACACATCAAGTTGGTAAAATCATCATTGGTAGTCAGATTATGTCGACTAATTCTTCCATTAACGGTGATCAACATGGGTATCCTGGTAGTGAGAGTGGAAGAAAGATTGGACTATTAGAGTTAGAACTTCAGGGTGCTTATAAGGTTAGGGATAAGATCATCGGTGAGAATAAAGAGTTAAGGAAGTATCTTCGGTTGTATGAAAAATCGATTTCGGATTTGGTGGACGAGGTTAAAGGTGGGGACGAGCCTAGCCTCGATGTGATTGACGAGGACGATGAAGATGGTCAGGCTCAGCAGGATGACGGAATGATAAATGATGATAGCACACATCGAATACCCTTGACATCTTTGTTTAAAAGGATGTCACGTTTTACATACGAGTTAAGGGAGAAAGTGATTGGTCTGAAGGATTTGTTGAATGAATCAATAGCTAATAATGAAGATATCAAACAAAAAATGGAAATGGAGAAAACAGCGGTATCGGAAGGATATGAGCTTCGGATTGATGAGTTAGGGAAAGAAATTGAAAGATTGAAGTCTGCTTTGGTTCAAACTGAGGAGGTGGTAGAGGGTTGGATAAGGGCTGGATTGAATCAATCGAATGGGATGATGGATCATGGAATTGCTGATGAGTAAGTACATTATATCTCTAATCGGAAATGATCTTATGAGCTATGAAACTTCTGAAAACGTGTACTATAGCTAACAAATTCCCTTTCTTTTCAAAATAGTGTTGAAGAGTCTATCGTAATCCCATCTAAGGTAGATAATCCTACAACAACAATCGCAACCACTACTACCACGGATTCATTCAATTCGAAAAAACGCGAAATTGAAGAAACAATAGAAAAACAAAAAAGAGAAAGATTAATGGAATATGAAGAAAAACAAAAACAAATCTTAGCTGAAATCTTTTCACCTGAAAAACCAACAACCACAACCAGCACAATTCCGAACCCAATCATTAATCAAACAATACCAGAAGAAAATCAAACCTCATTAGATAGTTTGATCGTTTTTACAAAACCAACTAACCTGAATAAAAAACTTAAAGGAAAAGAAATCATAGGTAAAACGAAATCTTCATCGACCATCAAAATGAAAAAGATTGATGTACCTTCTACTACATCAAGGTTTAGAAGAGAACCCATGATTCCTAGTAGTAGTAGAAGCACACTCAATTCTGTACTTGCTATGACAGATGAAAAGGAAGGCAAAGCAACGGCCGCAGGTAATGAAGCTTCTGGATCCGGTTCGAGTAGTAATCCTAAGACTAAGGCTAAGGCTAAGGTTACTCCCGCAGTTCCTGCTACTGCTACTGCTCCTAGTAGTACTAGAATTAATAGATTTGGTCGTCTTAAAAGTCGAGTTCCTTTGAATAATCGAACTAAAGCAAAAGAATAAAATCAGGGGTTTTTTACTTAGTCTTGATTTGATTCTAATTCTTATGATCTGTATTTGAACAGTCTGTGTAAAATGATTACTAAACTCGTGCATTTTCTGTCTTTCATCTTTCTTTTCATTTTTCTGTGTTGTTTTTGATTGCTTTTGTTTTGAAGGGAAAAAGGGTTAATTACTTATTTATTTGTTGGATGAAGTAGAGCAAATTCTTGAAGTTGAGATTTCTTTTTTGGTTTTTGATGTTTTTTTTGTGATTAGATAGGTGGAATGTAAAAATAATTGGATTGAGAGAGGCTGGGTTTGTATAAGATGTTTGTTTGAGAAATTTTCAAATGGTGCTAAGAAATAAGTATGTAAACATGCATCTTCATGAAATAATGGGCATCTGTTGCTCATTTTTCATCAATTCTTGAACTTGCAGAAACATATTTTTGAAAGTTACAACAAGAGTTGATTATAATTCATTCATGGGAAATGCAACTATTGTAATCAGAGGGGACCCAAATGTACTCAAAGGCTGGGCAGGTATGATGTTTGACTGATTGGCATTTCACTCAAACTATTGTCAATTCTGATGTGATGTGTTTGCAAGACTACAAGAACTTTGACTCTACACAACTAATTACAATGCAGGCCCAGCTCAAGAAATCACACTCTTCTAATCAAACATTTTTGATGTTTGCAATCAGTGGTAAAAGCTGACTTTGGCTGGTTGCTGATAGGCATATGCACATATTGGTACTAACTGACATTGGGTTTCTTGAGTGCACATATTTCTCCTGCTTGGTACATCACACAACTCTGATCTTGAAAACTTGTAATCAAAGTGAATTCATTATTCCAGTTTTTCTATATGACAAAATAACTTGATGAGACTTTGATCATTCACTCTATTTAGATGGATTCCATATGTACAATAACCAATCACCAATCTGGCCAAATCATCCAAAAAGGGAAAAATCATTCTTATTCTCTTTGCTTTTCAAACCAATCCAAAATCCAAAATCCAGATTATCCATCAAATAATACAAAAAGAAATAATACATAAACCAAAACCAAACCATACCAAACCAATAAAATAAGGCCACTGAAAATTTCCTTTAACATTATCAATAAGAAATCTAGATTTATTCTTGATTTTCTTCTTCATCACTTTCCATTATATCAGAAGAAGCAACTGATCCACTCTGTTGTTGTTGTTGTTGATGATGATGATTTATATTAACTTGATTCTCATCAATTTGCATACTATCTTCAATTTCTTCTTCTTCTGTTTCTTCATTCTCTTCTTCTTCTTGAACTCCTTGTTTAGATCCTTCTACATTCTGAGACCCACTTTCTTGGATCAAATTGGTTGTTGTTTCTGGAACGGTTCTTGGTTCTGGTTTACTTGCTTTTTCTACTTTCTTTGCTGCATTTAATTTTCGAAATGCTAGATTTCGAAAAGATTAGATTAGATTAGATTTGGATTATTTGAATATGAGAAGTTTGAAGAGATTAACCTTCTAGTTCGGTTTTTAATGTTCTGATCATCTCTTCACTATCTGACCATTCTAATTCTTTACATGCTTCAAGTACGTGTCTTGCACCTAATGATTTTTCTGATCTTTCTGCTGCAATTCCATGAGCACTGAACGAAAACCAAACGTAAATCGAAAAAAATCAAAACTCAGTATTTTTTTCTGTGATGAAGAAGTTGAGATCTTGTGTATCAAATTGATCGATTTTTTTAGAAGATAATCAACCTATAAAATTCACTTACATTGAAACTAAATAATTTATAAAAACTGTACTTGCTTTGGTTAATGCAACTGGCACTTCTTTTGCTAATTTCATATTTCCAGGTCCAGTAGATTTAGCAAGTTTCATAACTAATCGTCCAAAACCAAATTTAAATACCAAAATCAATCGGTTGATATGTCATGTAAAGACTGAAGTTCGAATTGCGTGTTTTCAAGCTTACCTACTGCTCTAGGTAATTCTACTGCTTCTATACCTGTGAATGATGCTGCTTGTTGGTGTCCTCCTATTGATTGTTGTACATCTGGTGGTTGAACGATTTTTTTTACTTTCTATATCATAAATCAATAAAAGATCGAAAATCAGTTTAAAACGTTTGTCCTTTGAGGGCTCTTTGGATAGTTTGGTGTGAGATGAATTTAAAGGGAATACTGACTGGCATGGTTGATTGATTTTTGGTTTGATCGATTACCGAGTTTGCTGGATGGAAATCAGTTTTGATGAGAAAGAGTACAATTTGATGTTGAAGGCTTGAAGTTTGAAGAGAAGAGTGATGTTTATAAAGAAATGTAATATGCTTATAAGCTGTGTAGCATACAATCAAATGGTCAACAGTCAACTCGATCGAATGGAAAGCATGAAACGAGGATGGTAAACAGTTTGATCAAAGTATTTCCTAGAATGATACTGTTAAAGAAGTCAATTCATATCCTACCACCTCTAGATGGTTCACTTCATAAGGGTCAATCTGGTATGTCTTATCAATCGAACTGTTCAATCAGACCAGACAGTCCTATTAAAATAATTATTTTACCTTCTTGTTTGAACAAAGGTCGGGTGGGTGTAGTAGGTGGCTCAAGAGAGTATGTTTCCATATCATTCTCAATCAGTTAATCTGATTACTCAAAGAGATGAATTGGTCATAATCTTATGATTAGTTATACTGGCGCACCTTTCTTTTCGAGTTATGCTGCACTTCGATTAGCTCAGTATTCGTTCAAGACTACTACAAACTCATCAAACTCTCATAATCTCTCTTGACTAATCCTTGTTTCAAATAAATATAGGGAGCCGATCTATCACACGTAATATGTGATCCAATAGCATCAACCGTGATAAAAACTTATTCACCAGATTTAATAGTTCATAGTTTTCTTTCATCATCAAAAGATCAATCACTTTATAAAACTCATCAAGATGAATTTAAAGAATTGATTTCTAGATTACATGTTTTAGTTATCGGACCTGGTTTAGGTAGAGATCAAGAAATGCAAGATTGGGCTAAATTCGCTATTGAGATTTGTAAAGAATTAAACCTTTTTATCGTCTTGGATGCTGATGCACTTTGGCTTATTCAATCTGATCCGTTTAAGTTCTTTTCTTTTTCCTTGAAAAAAAACAGTCAATCAAATAGTCAAAAAAACAAAAACTGATTTTCTTTTGTCTTGAATTCATTTCGACAGTGATATAATTCGAAATTATAAAAAAGCAATCTTAACACCAAACCACGTAGAATTTCAAAGATTATTGAAATCTTGTTCAATTGAAACCACTGATCATCAATCAGAAACCGATTTAGCCAAAAGACTATCAAAATCTTTGGGTGGTTGTACGATTTTACAAAAAGGTTTTAATGATATTATTGCTTGTGATGGATATGATTCGATTATAATCGATACAGAAGGATCACCTAAACGGTGTGGTGGTCAAGGAGATATCTTAAGTGGATTAGTTGGTACATGGGTAAATATCAACAAAACCCTTTTTTCAAGAAACCTCATAAGAAACCAAAACACTCATCAATCTTGGTTTTGATTGTTTTTGTAGTTAGCATGGGGAAAACTTTATCTTGATAAACAAACAACAAATCTTGATCAAATTAATGGAGAAGATGAAAAAATCAAACAAGAAGAAATCACATTGATTTCAGCAAGTCTTGGTTCTAAGATCACTAGAACTTGTTCTAATTTAGCATTTGATCAGTTTGGTAGATCTATGCAAACAAGTGATATGTTAAATTTTATTAATGAAAGTTTTAAAATCGTTTATAAAAGTTTATTGAATGATGAAAAATTATCTAAAATGTAAACAAACATGTATTGTATTTTTATCATTGAATTAAATGTTATGGTTTTAGTCATGTGGTATTATTGAAAAAATATTTTATTCTGATATTTAGTTATCTCATTGATGCTCATTTCCTTTATTGTGGTCAAGGAATACTTTTGAAGTAGTGAGATTGTTTTCTTGGTTGAATACCACTTTATCCAGGTTGGTGATTCTTTTGACATACTTAACTTGATTTCAACTGTTTCTTCTTAACAATTTCAATCAACTTCTCATGGAGTCATGACCCATGTAAGAATCAATTACCTTGCATATAATTTGATGGTCAATATCTAAGATGATATATATATCCCAAGGACTAAAAAAGATAACTTTGCTTGTACATTCAGGTTTCAAATCAAGCTTGACTTGAATGTAATTTTTTCTCCTTCAATGATGAACAAATAAAATGATGTAACGAAAATGCACTTCATCAACTTCTTGAAAATATGTATCTATTTTATTTACTTTCAAATTTATCACTGGTTATCAAACCTTATTCCTAGCCATCAAAACTCAAATAGCAGAAGTGGAAAAAGACTGATCAGGTGCACCTGGTTGCGTAGTTTTACATGTGGGAAGGGGATGTGCATGGCCCCATGCAACTTAAAGTTTTGGTATAGTGTCACTTTCTTATCTTTAAGTTAGGTTGGCTTGCCATTGGTGGTACAAGTGATTAGCCCATGTTGAGCTCCTTTACAAAGGGTTCTCTTATTATGCCAATATTGCTTATAATCGTAAACTCATGGTTCTTTGTGGCCATTTTTTGTCTTTTCAGAGTATGTATATGAAGCCTTTTTTTCTGGACTTCTTTATAAACATGCCATTGTACTGTTGTTTTGTAAATTTTGGAACCATCGATTTCACCCCTGGGTCTTATCCTTATCTAATCTAATAGTAATACGTGTATTCAACCTCTCTATCTCACCCTGAACCATGATGAGGAGTAACAAAATGTGGTTATTGTATATCATACTTCAGGATGAGATAAGAAGCTTGAATACGCTTGTTAGAATTCTTTTCAAACTTTCCAGGAAGTGGTAATGTACAGTGATATAAGAAAAGCTGGCTGAATTTTGCCCGCAAAACTCGAGCGAATTGGCGGGGAATTTGTCGCAAGCTTTTCTTAAATGACTGTACCAAAGCAGTGTTCACGCCGTACATCAGTCCAATAATCCTCAAACCCATGTGGGGATTCCAGATGCAGCCTGGTCTCAAGTGAACAGATTGAGGTATCACGCACAGCTTTGGGGAAATCTACAGTCAATCGTCCCTTCTGGGTTCAAGAAAAAGCCTATCCATATCAATTTTCAAAGGAAGACCCTCACAAAACCACACGGCAATAGACTTTTCGCAGTGACGCGCAAACTTATGATGGTAGTGTCCCGGCATGTATCGCTTTTTAGCTCACGGAAATTTCGTTAGCCCTCGGGAATGATCCGAAGCAATTTTGAGACCGGTACCATGGATTTTAGATCACACTCCCCCACAAGATAGAGTGAAATAATGCGTGCATAGTGAAAATTATTTGACTTATAAGCAAGACTGGATTTGAGTTATTTTTTAGGTAATGGAAGAAGGGTCTCGGAGAACGCTAATCGGAATATCACATTTGAATTTATAATTTCGTAGCATTCAACACCCAGTTTTTACCCTAGCTTAACACAAGACACTCCAACCAGGATCCCCGGAGATTGATGTGTCTTGTTTCACGGTCTATCTTTTGGCGAGACGGCCCGGAGCTCCCGCAGGTCGATGAAGAATTATCTCTGTGATACGATCCAGCACTTATCGGTGGTCAACTAATACAGAAACTTGTCTCTATATATCATAGGATACACATAGCTACGCAAAGTCAAAGATATAATAAGAGAACCCACGCAGTTGGATGCAAAACATAACACCAATGCACAAACCATCTGGTTGAAATCCTCAATCTCGTTATCCTACGACACGGCGAGAAATTCCACCATTCAAAATGAACTGATCTCAGATACGGTAATCTCAGTTTGATTAGCGTATGCATTGGTTTGGCGCACCGTAGACGAATTGCAGGTTTGAATTCCCTGTTGCTTCCGGCCGCGTGAATATCACCATTTAGTTTTCTACGTCCATTAGCTAGAGACGATTATTTAAGACTCTGAGTTAGCATAAAATCTCAAGCGCGCTTGAAGCCGATTGAAACAGCGCATCAAAGCAGTCTAAAAATTGACTCCTAAAGGTGTAAATCCACCTTGATAAATTGAGAGCCATTTCGTGTCATTTGTCAGCAAAGCAATACTTCCTGCAAGATGCTTCTTTTTCTTTTCACTCAGAGTTCCATTTCATCGCTTCTAATTCTCATTTCATGGGCTATTTCCATCATTCAGCTCAACGCTCTTCCGTTCAATGAAGCTGGAGAGATATTGGTAACTGGAATTCCAGATGATGCAGCAGTCTTGCGTCAAATTCAAGCGAGAATTGGTACTGTTCCGGAAGTCGAAGAGGACAAATATACTTTCTTTAAAAAAAGTTATCCTCCTCCGAAACCTACCTCAGATTCCAATGGACTTTGGCGCAAGTTGAGTATCATCATCCGTCCATCCGTCGGTGTGGACCGCCATGCACCAATCCATCAAATCGCATCCAATTGGAAGGATTTGGACATCAATAGCAATTTGAAGCCGTTGGTGAACGTGATCTTGTTATGCGGATCAAATGCAAAACAGTTCGCCTCCAGGGTGGAACGCTCGTCAACCTCGATCAGTCCGACTGGAAAAATTCTCCTGCAAAAAGCGATCTCCGTTCTGAATGTTGCAGATCTCACGCAGTCAGAGCGTGTGTGGGTCCACGGATTGATAGATTCATTGCAGCTTTACTGTCCTTCGAGGTTGGATTTATCGGCCGCGAGCTCTGCTACTCCATCTTTATTGAGGGGAGAGCTCGAACATCTGAGAGTTTCAGGTGACTGATTTGAAAATTCTTGAAACCTGAAAGTTAATCTGATGCATCTGATGTGACATCAGGGGCTGCCCTTCGAGACTGGATTGTCAGGTTATCGAAAAACCCAAGCTCAGAGGCTCCACCTACTGCCAAGGGTGTGTGATCTCATTCATGCTTCATCCCACAAAAGTCATTAGTTACGACATCTGACAATTCTCGGAGGATTTCTGCATGACCAAAATCAATCAGGCGGTAAGTACACCCTCCTTCTTTTCCCTAAAACCACTCCTGTATTTCAACGTCGATTGTAAAGCAACCCATGAAACTAATTTTGTTCATGTCGTAACAGAAATTCTGGAATCATTGGAGCGCGTGCAGCTTCTCAAGGGGATCAAGGAAAAAATCAACCAGGGCTCCGTCAAGCATGACCCCGAATCAATTCGCAGGCTATATGACGACATTTTAGCAGACACTATCGCCCGGCCTCGCGAAGAATTGATTCTCGATAAAGTACGTCCAACAGCCATAAAACATCTGGCCAGTCCGGTGACCGGTTGGACGAAAGAAATAAGTGTATGGGTCTTGTCACACTTTATGAAACATTACAAAGACTTCAAATCCCACATGGAAACTGTCATAGGGAAGGATAGGAATCTTCTGTCGAATTATATGGACATCAAGTTGCGAGATATCATGGATCAATTAGAGTCTTCTGGTTTGAAAGAGGAATCCGAGTGGATGGATCTCGCTCGCACATTTAAGCTTTGGGATTCGGGTGTAGAGCATGACGATTTTTTTGATAGATTTGTAGATTTGATCAAACTACCAACGACGAATACGAAGCAAAAGGCCTTGAGCTATCAAGCGCTTAGTATTGTCAGTACTTACAATGGACATACCGCCGCGAGGTTGGAAAAACTATACGACACAGACCCAGACTTTCGTCGAGATGTGATCCAGACTTGGAGTCACTTATACGACGAGTTGGACCAGAAAAAGGTTCCCTATCTCAGCTGGGAGCATAAGAAACTAGGTACGCTAACCTAGTTGTACAACGTCCAGTTCTCTTGCTTGTCGGTTTGAAATATTCTGAGCAGAGTTGGCTACAAAACATAACAGGTTCCCTAGATCAGAAGTCTCTCCTCGAGATGGGAACCATAGAGCTAGAAAAAAGCTGGGGAGACACTCAGGGTTTGCAAGTACTGAAAAAACAGCTGTCAGATTTGAGTTCGGGTGATATTCAAGCCAAGGAAAATCTATTTTACACAACAACCCAATATCTCTCACAGGGAATCCTAGAGAGAGATCTGTCAAAGCCTGGACCCAGAGACAACCTGATTGCAAAGCCACTCGAAAGATTTTATGTTGAAGCTTTAGCCTACTTGGTATCAGGAGAGAGATCATTCAAGCAGAAGTTGAGGGACCTAATGGCAAAGCAAAGTGGGCTAAAACACAGATTAATCAACCAGATGAAGAAGGAAGTGGGTTATGATTTTCTCCCAGAAGCTTTCAGAAACAAAAAGTTACTACCCTTTCATCGATGGCTCACCCAGGCAAGTGAAGAATTGTTTTTTTGATTGAGAAGTTATACCAATTCTTTCGAGTACCATGACACTCTGAGTCTAACCAATATTGAAAGCTGACATTTTTCTAATGATTTTCAGAACACAATCAATAATCCTCTTGCAAAGGTTTCGACAAGTTTAACTTTTATGCCAAAAAGTTTCAAGTCATTAAGTTTCAAAACCCCTATTCAAAGGCAATCAACGATGTAAATGGCAAATACAAAGCACCATCCTACCCTTCTTTCTATCCTTCAGTCTTGCAATGAGTTATCTATCACTAAATAAATTTTGGGTTGAAAGATTTTATACTATTATACTATTTATGAGCAATAGGGATTGTACATACATGTCTGATGTGCATCTCAAAGTAAATTAAACGTGGGTTTCAAAGCGTATAATTTGAATCAATTTTGATAATAAAAACTCAGGTTGATAATTGATTCCACGTGTCTCAAGACGCCCAGAAAAGTGGAAAACAAACCCCTAGAATTTTGAGAGATCTGTGTAGAGATCTCACCATGATATGCAAAGAGAGTTATGAGATCATAATATGATTTTAGTATCCTCCCTATGGTAACCTCATCACCCGCCCTTCACAGTGGGTTCATTAAAAACAAGTGACTTCCTCATCTTATGATGTTTTAACAGAACAAGTTTGATCAACGGATACACCACGAACCCTGCTTTTGTTGAGCAACCGCGCCAAAGAGGTGGAGCTACTACCCCGGTAAATACTCGCTGCGAGATGATCGGACCGCGGCTTGGCCCCGGGGCTTAAGCCAGCTGAGAACTACGCGCTGGTCCACCACTTCCACCAGCGGTTGAAACATTGTCTTTTTCTCACCGGCTTCATATTGATCATGTTCAGCTGTTTCCCGCTGGGTGTCTTACCCAGCGGACGAAAACGTATAATTAAGCGGCTTAAAAGCTGCAATCAGGTGCTGAATCAAAGGTCCCAGCTGGTCGCCATCGACAAACCGGTGATCAATATGGCTTAAGCCCATGGTTCCAGCTGGTCGCCTTAATAAACCATTAATGGCAACCAACCCAGATTACGAAGAAGGAAGCGCTTCCCTTCCAATTCCATCTTATTCATCAAATCTTCGTATTGGAATAGTCCTTTGAAGGACATTTCCCTTTTGCATTCAAGCACATTGAATCAGTGTCTTGTGTGTAATTTGGTATTTTGGTATTGTCTTCAAACGCCAAAAAGATGGCTCAAACGGACAAACATTTGGAACAATGTATTGTTTTCCAAAAGTTTGACCTTTCTCAACATCGCACATCCATCTGAAATTTCTTTCATTTCTCTTTCTTTCAAGGCTTTGTTCAAGCTCCGGAAGGAGACAACGACGATTTTATCTGTCTTGCCTGTGGCAGCAGTCGCTCGTTGAAACCCCAGTCTATTCGAAAACATCGGCAATCGCCAAGTCACACAAAAAACTTTGAAAAGTGGCTTCTCCGCCAAAGCAATCACAATCAAGACCACGATCAAAACACAACCACTGCCATCAATCTTGATGTCGATCTTGATTGGACTATTGATGAGATTATGCAGTCGGATCTAGGAGATGAGAGTAATGCCGATGAGGACATCGTCATGTCTCCTGTTGACCTCGACGATGATATTCTCGAACAAGAGGAAAGAAGAAGGACACTGCTCGACCTTTGGACTCGTGACCATACTTCTGTTTTTAGATCACCCGCTCTCAGTATCAATAGCCACGACTCTTGTCTTGATGAAACTCTATCTAGCAATGGCTCTGAAGAAGATGATGACAATCAGTCATCCGGCTCCAAAGACCCGGACCAAGGAGCTTGCATAGACGGAGACTCCTCTTCTTGGGCTCCTTTCTCAAATCTGGAGGCAAGTCTTGATGTTTTTTGCATCAGTTATACCTCCTGATAACAGATAGAATGACTGTGTTGCCCGTCATCAGGAACTTGTAGGCCTTATGCTGCTAGGTTCAGCAAGGACTAGGATTTCTGTATTGGATTATGAGCGCGAACGGTCAATCATTGGCCTTCTTGGTGTTAAACTCCCTGGATACAAAAGTCTCAAGAACACACGCCAAAAACTCAAGAGGAAATACAACTTTAATGTCTCAAAGACTGTCAGCTCTCTCGAAAAGCCATGTTATGGGCTGCAAGTCGAGCAGATCTTAAAACAGGTATTGACCTCCTGCCTTTATCCTCACAGTGGCATCACAGAATATTTACAAGTGTGACACAATAGGAACTTGGCAATCCATACGTTAGAGAGTTTCTTGATTTCATGCCCAAGCTGCCGACTTCAACTTCTAAAATAAACTCATTAACACAATCTAAAAAGTGGCGGGAGGGCCTAGATCCAAAAATGCGTGTGCAAATGATAGCACAGCCACATGGACACTTTTACTTATTCGAGCCTGTTCAGCTAAGAACAAAAGAAATCGTAGTCCCAATATTCTTCTACCGTTCAGGTCCCGCTATCTACGCGAAGTGTGTGCCAACGATTCAACAAATCAACAGAAATTCGCCCTCAGCGTCCAGGATTCGAATGGAGTTTTCTTCAGTTTCAGACTTCAACTCTGATAAATTGATGTCAATTGACGTCAACTTCTTTTGGAGAGGGTTTGACCAGATAAAGATACGTGATGGTGTTCTCCTTAAGAACTGCTGTGGGAAAGTTATGTACAGTGAGTTTCCAAGTTTGAGTTCCTGGGGATGACAAATATTGATGCAATGTGATCAACAACTTCCAGAGGGTTCCGTAGGATCTTTCACCGAGGTGCCATTTACGAATCCTTGGCGTAAGAAGGCTGGTGACCGTATCATTCGCCACATTCCTCTGGTATTATACTGTGATGATCTATCAGGGAACGTTTCAAAACGCTGGAATAAACATATTGCGTTTTATTTCACTTTAGCTGGTTTGCCTCCAAAGTTGGCAAATCAGGAGTATAACTGTCACTTCTTGACCACCTCCAATACAGCAGGGGCTTTAGAACTGGCTACCCCGGTGATTGACAGTATCAAGTAAGCTATTCTGAATGATTACAGCATTATATCAAAAAACACATTGATTCTGATTCCATCGATTATTGAAAAGTAAACTGTCTACCACAGGCTTTGTTGCGTTTGATTACGAGATCAAAGCCGAAGTCCTTGTGATGCCACTGATTCTGTGTCATTTAGGCGATTTGCCAATGCACGCAGAAGTGACGAACACAATGAATCCCACAAGTTCACTCACCCCTTGTCGAGTATGTGACCTGCAAGTTGATTCACTTGCTGACAAAAAAACGGGGAGGTGGAATTTTACACCGTCCACTTTACACAGACATGGTCGGTGTAAAATCCCAAGGGTGTAAAATTCGAAAATTGAGGCCTTTTTTCGAATTTTACACCTTTTTTCTTTTTTTTTGGTCCGTGTAAAAAAACTCTGTGTGAACAGGACGGTGTAAAAGTACGGAACCCGGACTCAACATTGAGTTTTGCACCGGAACTTTAACACTGAAAGTTTCGGTGTAAGAAATGCCTGTGTAAATATCAAAAATTGAATCCAAAGATTCAATTTTACACTGACTCCCTTTACCCCAACCAGTCATGTGTAAAGTTCGACTGTGTAAATTTGCACTTTGCATAAGCTCAGATGCACTTTTACACCGCATCCAAATAATTTTGACACCGCCTTGCATGTATTTCTCACAAACAAATAACTTCCAAGATGTATGATATCTTATATATGATCTTCAATCACGCTTGTATCCAGGCAATGAAGAAAAGACACAAACATAATCCAAAAACAAAAAAAAACACAAAATGATGACAGAGAGTACATCAGCCACGACGGTGACGCTTTGACCTGGTGGGTTTGACCTCTGCTACAACTTCTTCTACATCTTCAGCCCCACTTTCTTCGACGGGCACATCTTCCACGATAGCCCAACCTTTCCATTTTCCTTTGTTTGGTTTAGATGCTTCTGAACAAAAACATCAGTCAGCAATTAAGATTTTGTAAATCATATATGGATCAAGGTATATACCTTGTTTTCCTTTCGTGTCCGGTTCATCCTTGACCTCCACCCGGGTTTTGGTACGCGTGGTTCTTGAGGCCACTACAGGCGGTGGTTTTTCCATTGCCTCTAGCACAACCTTCCCGTCGGGTTGTGATTTTCCCTTGCGCTTCCTGGGTGACACTATATCACAGATAACAGATTAGTATCTTATATAAAACATTGTATAAGATAAAACATTATAAATATAAATATTAAAACTCACATGGTACCGGTTTAGACTTCTTATCTGCTGCTTCTGTGAGCAAAATGTCCTCTTCAACTTCAACCTCCGTATGTTGTCCCAATGTGACGGCCGCCACTCTGGGAGCAAGAATGCTCTCCACACTAGCCTTTGCCTCCTTTCCTGCGGCCTTTGCATCGCCTTCGGTTTCATGATCTTGAGGCAGGCCCCCGCCAAATGGAAATGTCGAAGTTGGCATTGAAAAGGGAATGTTGGAGGCTTTTTTTGGAAAAAGTTTGACGAGATCGCGAATTGCAGAAGAGATTTGATCAATCTCTTCTGCCTGAGGCATGCGAGAGTAGAACAGCCAGGAGGTATCGGGAGAGCAACCGCCAATGGTGGAGACATCCGCCGATTCCAGCTGGGCTATTCTGCTGTTTTCACGTTCGTCATAAAGCCAAACCCCGAGGATGCCATCAATAGCTCGTACGACCCGTCCCCAGTAATGGTAGTTCGCCCAATAGCCTCGAGATACCAAGAAGTACTCCACCGCGCCCACTTTGATACGTGCAGGCCAGTTGGTCTCACCTTGGTAGCGTTCGCGTTCGGAATCAGTAAGTCCCACAATTCCATCCATATGAAAGTATAGATGTAGCGGCGCGGTTTCGGCGTCGGTAATTACAATCTTGAAGTTGTTATGAACAAATGAAGGGTTTGCCACTGGGGTGACATCCTTGCCCTTCCCAGTAGCTTTGGGATGGCACTGAGTACATAAGACTCCTTCAGAGGTCAGTCCATCAGTCATCCATGTCGATAACAATAGGGGAACATCGGAGTAAGCTAATGAATGCTTGTCAAACATCGATGGCAGCAGGCGAAGAATAGCACGTCGTTGAGGTATCACGCTTGTATGATCTGAATTCCGAAGACACATAACTGTCTTAATCATCGAGTGTTCAAATAGCGGTCCCAGAGACGAATTTCGGTCCTTCACTGGTTCTAACAATAACTCCATAAACCCGTCAGCCGACGCAAAAACATCGTTGGCGTAAGAGTTGGACCTTTCTTGAACAGCTTCGTGAAGCAAGGTTTGCCACCTTGTCATGCTTCCCGTAAAGTTAGCCCCGGTGATTTCGAAGTTACATCGCGCGGTGAAGTGTCTTGCTAGCACGTTTCCTAAGTTGGTACTGTTCACCGTAAGGTATTTAGTCCAACATGGATTAAAAAGCGCATAGAGGGTTTCTAGAGTCGAAGTTTGCCAGCAACGATTCCGGGTTCCTTTCTTACTTCCGACTTTGTAAGACTGATAGGTGGTGAGTGAATTTCGGTTGATGTTCTGGGAGCCCACAGGTCGTCCTAATTTCGCAGGTGCCTTGTAAACCTTTTCTTTTTTTCCAAGTAGAGTGTCGGAGTTATCGGGTGCACAGCCATCGTTACGTGTGAACTTGCGTTTGGTGGGAGGTGGCATGCCTAAAGCCTTCACCACCTCTTGCCAGGTGTCCTGCGAGGTGCCACCGTAAGTTATTGAAATGCCTTTTTTGACTTGCTGGAAATCCTTTTCCATGCATTGGGCAAAGGCGCAAAGTTGAATGATGCCGGCTATAATCGAGCATCTCCCTTTGCTGAAGGTGATTGTAGCAGAAGAATGAACTTGATCAGTAAGTAAAATGACACTGATAGGAATTAAAATGTGTACTGACCACAGTATGTAATACACTCGATGCATACTTTCCTGTCCATTCGTAGTCGAAGGCAGGTCCGCACGTCTTCGAGGTGCGACGACGTTGACATCATCATCGTCGCTGTTGTCGCCGGGCAAGGGAGGGTCGTCAAGAGGTTTGCGCTTTCGCGCGGGGAAAAGCATAGCTTGAACATCAGCGGTTTCCCACCAATCTAGCCATCGCTTTGCTAGAGGGAAAAGGTGTCGCAACTCTTCAAATCGGGAGTCCAGGTCTTTGATGCCAGGTCCGTCAGGGAGAAGCAAAGCTTTGCATTTTTTCTCCCAAGTTACCTGCCGCAAAAAGAATAACAACACAAATGAGTTAAATGAGTTATGTGAAATCAAATGAAATATGAAAATTTTGATTGACTTACCGCCTGTTTGGCCTTCACAATCTTCTGATTCTTCTGAATTCGGGTAATAGCCTGATAAAAATGCCATTTGCATCCGTGCAACTTCGACAGTGCCACATCCTTGTCGTGGCAATTAAACACTTCCATATATGCGTCCTGAAATCCCACTTTCTGCGCCAAAGAGAAATCAACTACTTGTTCTACCATCATCCCTTTGCTCTTCTCGGACAAGGTTGTTTTTTGAATCTGCTGAAGTAAATTCTTAAAATGAACTTTGTAATGTTCAGCGGTGAGGCCATTAAGCCAAGAGAATAAGACAGGAACCCAGCGCTTGATGGTTTCACAGTATTTCGAAGTAGTTAATAGATAACCAATCTTGAAAAATCTATAAGTTACGTTGGAGAGAAGTCCTCCGGTATAAGTGTCTGATTTTTTGTCGGGTTCAACTAGTACTTCCGCCATCCAACCAGTTTGGAACGTTATGTGTGCATCCGGGCCGGCCACAGACGACGAAACCACCTTGAGGCCTTTCCTGGTTAGATAGATAGATACATATATACTTATCTATCAGTAGGGTGTTCTTTTGGGCGTAGGAGGTGTTATGGAACAAACCTTTCCCAATCCATAAATGTGCATAGCCATTTATCGCCGGCTTCAGGATCGCGGGTGTCAGTCATTATACCGGCCTCGACAAGATACATTTGACGCAAATACCCTAGACGATCGGCGTTTCCAAATGACGAATGAATATCGGTGACTGAATGGACTGGGTCATTGCCCAAATGCGCCAGTCCAACCTAAATGTGTGATCAGATGAGACTGGTCAGCATTGAGAATATTCACGCAGAAGGTCATAATCGACTGACCTTCAGGCCTAAAGGTCCGGTCTTGGTGTCATTAATGACCCTTTCCTTCAACTTTTCTTTCGAGATAGGATCGGCCTTTTTGGACTCCGGCCAATCATGTTGGTGAGTCCCTTGATGACGCAGTAGGCCCCACTGTTCGTTTCCGTCCGCGTCTAATTCGGTATCAACTCGGCATTTAGCGTCACATTCAATGTGTACTTGGTAGCCATCGCAAGCGGAGATAGGACAGTTTTTTCTGTGGAGGTATATCGAAGGAAATCATGAAAGAAAAAAAAAGAACACAAGTATTAACACAATGTTGAAGAAACCGAAAAAAGGTGTGCAACCAGGTGCTGACCCTTCCGCCCCTTCGGTGATCTTTCTGGCTCCAGTTGGAGGGGAAGCTGCCAAAGGACAGGTCGCCTCGGAGCATTTAATGACCCCCAAGCAGTAGTACCGACGAGTAGTCCAGGTTTTCTTCTTTGTAGTTTCCGATTTCATGGTGTGAGTTCATGCAATGAAACGGAAATTCGACGCCGGGGAATCAGGGTCATTGACATAGACAGGATACTCCTCTTCGTCGAGTTCGCATCCATGATCAATGAAGGTTCTATATAGAGATTTATCAGTTGGTAGATGAAGATTAGGACGGTGTGGTTTGTTTTCCGTCATATCAGCTGGGAGAACTTGGCTTTCGATGGGAGAGGATGTGATCTCAATCATTTCGAACTGAGGTAATAACAGAGATGGTGATAAATTGAGTGATATACTCGATTGAGACAAGGAAGATGAGGTACTATATGTGGATTCAACTTCACAATCTGAGCTGGATGAAGTAAAAACAAAAGAACTCAAATCAAACTGATTTTTGGAAGAGATAATTTCTCCCTCGTAAACGGTGCAGACTGCTTTGCGAGGATCATAGCGCGACGTGGACATTGGTTCATCTGGAGATGGAGACACATTGCCTTCATTGGCAATGCCACCATCATAGCGTGATGTGGCGTGTCCCATGGTTGAATTAAAATGATTCTAGGGGACGCCTCATGAGAGCTCAAAAGAGATGATGGACTCGAAAGAATCGAAAATGCGAAAATGAGAATGGGGGAGAGACAGTTGAAGAAAGGAAATGGTGAAGTTGGATCCCTCTTTGGGAAAGATGGCGGCAAGTATGGCGAAATATATCGTAAAGTTGTTCGATATTGGAACAACTTTCGATATTGGAACAACTTTGCGCTGCAATCATCCACCCTCCGGTATCATCACGGATATGTGGGTAAAAGGTGGTTTCTTGATATCTCGGTTAGTGCATGTTTGGTTGAGGTTATGCAAGGGTTCAACTGATATAAATGATTGTTTTTGGCACATGGGAATGTACGTCCATGGTTTGAAAGGTGTGGTACATGTCCGGTGTACGGTATCGATATGGAGTGGTGTAAAATTATAGATTGGTATTGAGTTTTGGAAATTCACACAGCGCGCTTTTGCACCGGAAAGGGTCTGTGTTACCCGTCCTGGTGCAAATTTCAAAGCCCCGCGGGGGTCCCGTAATTTTACACTGTAACTTTTTACACAGTGACTTCCTGTGTAAAAATCACAGTGTAAAATTACATGTTACGTCCGGTTGCCGTACTTTTGCACTGTCTTTTTTACACAGTGCTACTGTACACAGCCCAGGAAAAATGGAAAACTGTGTAAAATTCGAAAACACAGCCCGTTTTTTGAATTTTACACAGAAACCGTTACACCGCCCGACCCGGTGTAAAATGACCCCTGTGTAAAATTCTCCTACCCCCAAAAAAACGACGAAGTATGTGTCCAACTTTCTTGGTCTTGACGAAAGTGGAAGGCCAGTAAGTTCATATTCATCATGTTCATCGTTCTCCTTCATTCATCATTTATTTCCTGGTCTTCATCTATTTCAGTTTTCTCTGCCGATGCGAGACTGGCGTTCTACAATAAAGGGTACAAAAGATCTCTGGGAGATTGCGCAGCGCCCATCGACAATTGCTCTCTTTGATAGTCAATCTGCGACTTTGGGTATACGAGATACGCTCAACATGGAGTTTGTAAAGATGGTTCAAAACTTCCATCGAGATAAAAAACTATCTAACAAAGACGTCGCTGGTCTCTGTGGTGTCTTGGAAGCCGATTTTGGAGAACATCTTTTCAACCCCTTTCTGCGACTTAAGAGTGTGCTTCATTCATTGCTCTCTTTCTATCCAGCTTAATTAATACAAACATTAACACCCTAACTAACATTTTCAAACATGTGTTAGGTTTTGATGGCCACCGGGATACTCCTGTCGAGATTCTACATGTCATACTTTTAGGTGTCGGCAAGTATCTATTACATCATCAAATGAAGAATTGTTCAGCAAGCGAAAAAGACAGTATACGAGGGAGATGGACGTCGTTCAACACATCCGGTCTAAATATTCCACCCATCCAGCCCAAGACAATGATACACCATTTTCTAAGCCTGAATGGGAAAGAATTTCGAACGGTTCTTCAAGCCGCACCATTCATCTTCTTCGAATGCAACTTAACGGAAGAAGAGCGTGCAACGTGGAAGTCACTCTCAAGTCTTGCCCCTTATATCTTCCAAACCGAAATCACCAACATGGACACTTATCTCAACGAACTTGCCATTCACATTCAACGCTTCCTTCAAGCAATAGTTCAAATGTCGGCTCAATGGTGTAATAAACCCAAATTTCATATGCTCATACATTTATGCGATTCTATTGATTGGTTTGGTCCAGCATGTCTTTTTGCTACGGAAAATTTCGAACGTTTCAATGGACATACAAGGCATCAATCGGTACATTCGAATCATCTCAGCCCGGGGCGAGATATAGCAAACTATTTCAATGATGGTGGCTTGATGAGATCTGTCACGGCAGGATCATACCTTTACGATGATGAATTGCAAACCTATATCAGATCTAGTATCAATGTGCGAAGGCTTTTCCAAACAAACCTTCTATTGCAAAGGGCGTTGGGTTACAACTCCTCATGGAATAAAGAGAGGGAAATTGGTATTGGCAGTAAGTTGATTATTTCGAGTGTGATCTGGATTGAACTGCACTGATTCTTTGGCTTTAGAAAAACAGAATGTCAACCGAGTTCTCCTGAAGAACTGGTTCCCAAGGCCATCCGTGACGCTTTTGCAGCAAAAGACTGGAAGGTAATCAAATCTATCACTTTGAAAAGTGAGCAAAGTGTCACCTCGGACTGTTTTGTTTCAGTAAACAGTCCTGCTACTTCTAGGACAATCGGACGAGTTGTTCACGTTTGGGGTGTCGGTGGCTGTGCATTACGACAAGTCAAAGTCGAAGTTCACAAATGCGTTCTTGGGGGGATCAGTGAATTTTATGGCATGAGAGAGATTCAAGAGAGAACTTCTCTTTTATTGATAAATCCCGAAGTAAGTGTATCTGTTGAGATCCAGATTCTTTCTATTTTGGCTCACCAAACCGCTTTTACAGGATATTGAAGCCGTCCTCAACGTCCAACATGACTGCCACAAGAGCAGGTGCAAAGTCCAAAGAACTCGACCAGTCATGATTGAACGTGAAGTATCAAAATCACTTGATTTTGCCGTTGCACATGCTTCAACAAATGACTTTATCATCAACTCAGCGGCTTTTTATTCGACTCAGATTCATCGCAGCTGGGCCCAGCTCCCTTGCAATGGTGTTACACCAATGGAATGGAAGCAAGCCATTGAAACTGGCCTGAAGCACTGGTGCGAAGTAATTCAAGAACGAGACGAAGCAAGGGAGCAGAAGAGTCAAAAAGAAAGACAAAGAGTGCTCAGAGGACAAGGTTCACAACAGCCCGCCAAAAAAACAAGATTGACGCAGGGCTTATACGGGGCAGGACCATCACGTTCTTCACAAACACCTGCTTTGTTGCAGCCTGAAGTTGATGAATCCCAGCTGCCAGTTGCCGGGCCTTCGACTTGATGTTTTTATTGATTAATCATTGCGTTTCATTCCCTTTTTGTACAAGTGTTTATGGATTTATTTTCAATATGCATTAATTTTGATTATTGGTTTAGTATTTATTTTATTTATCTCATCTCTCATATTCACTGTATCATTATTTTTTGTTGATTTATTTGAAATACAATGCCTGTTCTTTGCTCTCTAATACAATTCCTAAAACTATATCTGACCAAACATAAAATTGCAAAATGCAATTAAGAGAATCATTACAATAATTCTAAAAGAGAATAATTACAAAAATTCTAAAAAAGAATAATTACAATAATTCTAAAATGCCATTGAAAAAAGTGCGACTGAAATCTACAATAAAGATGAAATCTACGATGAGGATAAGGAGCAAAGGGTGGGAGCACCAAAACACTGGAAACATGAAGGTTTCAGTATTTGTGTTACATTCGTTGAAACTTGAGGTCGAACTCACATGTTGATTAGTTCAAAAGATGATGATGCAATGTTTGCTAGTGCAAAAGCCCACGAACAATGGTTTTCAATTCTGGTCTGACCCTGCGGAGGGTGTAACGGCTCAAGATCATATTGATCACACAGGATTGGAATGTTTTGGATCGATAATCAAATGTTTTGATGTCTTCCAATGAAATATGTTGGTTTAAATCGTCCAATGCTGAGTGAATGCAAGATGTGAATCCTCCGTTGTTCTTGCGATTTCCACGCCCAATGAGTATCAATCTGACCACACATTGTTGGAATCCGTCAGATTCATGATTGATTACTTGAACTTTTTCCATTCTAACTTGAGCTTTCAAATCTTTCATAACTAATGCCCAGCGATGCTTGATGTCTTCGAGTCGCACACAAAGAGATCCACCGGGACCATGTAGACGTTGCAGTTTGTATTGGAGTTTGTATTGACCGGATGCAAAGGGACCTTGTGATGCCATTGAAGAAAGGAAGATGAGGTTGAGTGATCTCAAGATGGAAGAATGAACAACAGAAATGTGAGTGAAACATTTAATATTTCACGCACTTTTCACCTCTCAATATCTTTAATGAACTCGTTCTTGATCTGGCGGCACTGTGTTTATTAATTAATCCAACCTCAAACTCGAACATCATCTCCATTTCAATAATTCCTCCAGTTTTCCCTCCACCATGTCTCAACGCTATGAGCCGTACAAACGACCTACCAGAAGTGGGACCACTGGCAGCCCAGCAAAATCACAGGGACCTTCAAAATCTACACAAAAAGCACCGAGTGTGAGCTCGACAAGCCCGGTCCAATCGATCACCCCTGCGAGTTCGACTGTCAGATTGCGTGGTACAACAACTTCTCGCAACAAATCCAAAGGCGCCACCCCGATTTCCAAGAAGGTAACCAGAGGGAAGAAAAAGTCGAACAAGAAGCCGAAATCACCTCCCCCTTTGTCACCCCCGTCCATCACAGCAGACGATCTAACTCAATTCAAGCCAGTCAAGGATCTTGGTAAGTCATTACGTTGATCCAACACAACTTTAGATGTTCTGATTGACCTCTTCGGTTCAGGAGAAGATGGCAATAACGGCAATGGCGATGGGAATAGCTCGCAGAACGAGAACGACAATGACGAGGGCGATGTGAATAATGATGATAGATTCAATGGCTCTGAAGATGATGGTAAAGATGATGGTGGCGAGTACAACTGTGAAGAAGAAGAAGATGAAGTTTATGAAGAAGATGAAGGAGAAGAAGAAGACGATCATCTTCCTCCATCTTTAGAGCCGCCAGCTCCCCGGTCCCAACAGTCTCGAGGGTCTGCCTCAAGAAACCAACAATCTCGATCGGCGCGTCCTCCTCATGAGGAATCCAAACCCATTGGCGAGTTTCGACTAACTGGGATGGACCTTCAATGCTTCAATTGTGTGGCGAGCCGTGCGAACTTGGATGAAGAAAGTAAAGCTATGGGACGGCTACTCTGTAATGTACGTCATCTTCTGGATTCTCGAATGGCCTCATGGTAGAAACCTCAACTGTATCTCTCTTTTCTAGGTGGAGGGAACGAGTGCTCAGTTCTTTACTTGCATGGCTTCAATTCTTGCGGGGCGTCAAGAAACAAGGTTACTATGTGAGGAAATGAACCATAGGTTTGATATTTTACAGGGTACAACACAATCACATAAAACTTCCAAGAAGTTAGAATGGACAGCACCACCTGAGCTTAGAGTAAGTGAACTTTTCCCTACCTTGTTCAACCATACAAATGAATCAATGAGTTCTCCGTGCAAGACTTAAATCGTTTGTTACAGGGATGTATTCGCTTATTAGCAAGTCGGCTTGTATTGGATGGTGACGTACAAGCGTACACGGCCAAACAAAATCGACATGGTAATAAAGACAACCTGCCTTTATCGCTGTATGCCAAAGTATTGGTAAGATCTTTTATCAGATTATTCGACCTCAATGAGATCAAAGCTGATAAAAAGAACAGCGAGATGTCTTGTCAAAAAACGAGAAATGGAAGCGTCGAGTTTTGCCACCAGGCTATAGCAGCGATCCCGACCCTGCCGCTGCCGCATCACTTCGCAAGGTGATAAATGCTGTATTGAAAGACATTAGGAAGGAAAGTCTGGACATTGTGCGCTCTTTCTTTTCATTCTTTCTAGGTATTTCCTTCTATTCCTTCTATCTCTGACGTTCCTGTGCAGATTCTTACCAACATCCGACTCCCAAACCAAGCCAATCCGCTTGCAACCAATGCAAATGTCCCAAGAACAAAATCAATGATTGCAAAGGTTAGTATCAGCATTTCACTTCATTTCATCAGTAAAACAAAGCTCACATGAATTGTTACAAATCAATCAAAGCTTTATGAAAAATCTAAAAGCTTAGTAGTAGGGCCCATATGTGTTCGTGAAGACGTCATAGCCAATGTGAAGCATTTGCAAGAAGCACGGTTTGCTTGGTTGGTAAGCCGAAATCTTTGTTACCATCATTTATTTATGAAACACTGAAGTTTCTCCTCCCAAATCGCAATGCAGAGATTGCAAGCCATTCATTGGGGTATACACGGTGACCAGTACCTGGGGCAAACGTTCTGGAATGTGGTTGACAGCAAATTGGAAGAATTACGAGGCAAGTCGCTTCGGTACCGTTATGCGTATGTCACAATTCATTTTTCCAAGAGTATGATAGTATGACTAATCTATTGCATCAGTTACCATGTGTGCATATTGCATGACGATTTCGATTTGATCAATGGAAAGGCCACTTTCAAACAGATCCAATCAAACAAGGGCAATAAATTTTTGATGCCCTCAGACGCACGGGTACTTACTTGTGTTCAAGAATTGAATGACACATTTGGAGACGATGGCCCTCAAGACGAAGCTGAACATGAATCAATTGCAGTTGCGGTAGACGAGGAAGAGGGAAATGAGGAAGAAGATGAGGGAGAGCAACAGGAAGATTGAATCATAGTGTAAATTTGTAATTTAGATTGTAATTTAGATGATTGTGTATTGTCTCCAGGGAGCGTTTTGATTCCCTTTCATTGCCTCTCTTCCGCTCTGTCTACTTATTCTCTTTCATTTCATGTGTATTTATTTGGTATTTGGAATTTGCTATCTTTTCTCGTATCTGTAATTTCTTTGTACCGCCGTGTGGATCAATGTATACGTTATTGTATAAAAAAAGTCCCAAAATGAGCAATACTGAAATTGAGGAAATGCATCTATGAATGCTTTCAAAACAGTGTGGGAATGGATCTGAACCCGTTTACCAACGGTCTGAAAAATCAGCACAGTAACGCAACAATTGAGGAACCCACGGCTTTGAGATGGAGAAGAAGCAGGACAAAATCGGGAGTCAATACTCCTGGTTTTTGGATAGCTTGGATACGAGCAGCTTCCAGACCGTGGGTCCCTCATCAAATAAATCCGGTGGGTCAGCCGGATTTCACCCACGGTGGTAGAGCTGCTCTGGTGACCTCGTGGTGTATGAGGCTTCATTGTTCGGGCGGCGTGAGCTGGCGGAGGGTAGTGTCCCGATTTTGCAGCTGCGGGTATGCTGAAGGGCATGTACATATGGACTCTGCGCGCCACACCTTCGGTATCCCCGGACGCCGACTGTACATATGCGTTTGTTACATGCGCCGGACATCGGCGTCTATTGATAGCCGTTTTTGTTAAACCGCTGCTGAGCTTTCCTGTGCTCGGTCAAGAGGGAACTAAATTACCACTTCAGTCAACAGGAAAGACTTTCTCCCCACATCCTCATTCACATTCAACCAATAAGACACCAAAAGCCAACGTTATCCTCAGAATGAAGAAACGCGGTCCACGTATTCAAATCATGGCAGGTCCCACACTCGATGAACTTTCACCCGTCAAGGTCAATGCAGATCAAACTGGACCCATGCCCATCAAAACGGATAGTTTTGAAGGTAAGGTCTTCAATTTCAGAAAAAAGATATGATCAAGCATACCCATTTTTTTTGAAGTGAAGACTGATTTGTATCTCGACCGCTTTGAGCAGGTGCTTTGATCGTAAGGTGGGTCATTGGGCTTACAAAGACATACCCTCTCTTCTTCTTCAACTCCCCAAACCTTAAACAAGAAAATATCAAAGCCTTGTTTAAAGAGGCACGAGTTGGAACTTATCTTCCGCTGTTGTATGTGATTTAAACCAGAATCAAAAACTTCGCGGGAGTTGATGGGGAAATTTACCGCGACACCGAGTCTGGTTATTTCTTATATAACCATGATGTCACTTGGAGTATTCAAGTTCGAGGTCAGTCCATGTTTCGCAAAGCAACTTCATGTTGGAGATGAGAGATTCTGATGCGAAGGATTGGTATGGTACAATCCCCTTCAGGCCGATTTCTCAAGCCAACAAACGCCAATGACTGCGTGTTCGGCAATACCTTCGATCAACCGATCCGAAGTCGATTGCCGTATGGCACTGCTATAGCTGTCAAAACTATTTCGTACATTGACCCAGGGTTCCAAGTTAGTTATGTTTTACCCTCAGAAATCGTCTACATGGCTCATTATCTTCTAACTGGTGCAAATTCCAGTGCGATTTGTATGCGGATAAACCATGGGCATGGTAAGCTTATGTCTCATACGTACTGGACATGCTGGTATGATTTGTGGAGACCGATGAGAACGCTACAACTGTTTCAATTCTTGATCCACAGGTCGCCCCTTTTGGCGACGATGAATTACGTCAAAACGGTGTAAGTTCGTGAGATGAGAGAAAACCTTGCGTCCCAAAAACTAACCAGGCGTGTTTTGATTTTGATTTTCTTCAAGAAAATTGCCATCCGATGATACACCATTGCCTGAATGGGATGGGAAAAAACCTGTTGAAGATTGCAATACAATCATCAAAAGTACTATGCCTGATCCTACCCCACCTCAGCCTCATCTCCGACGCAGGTACTTTGCTTCTGAGGCCAATCGTCTAGCGCTGACCCTGGGACCCAAAGTATGCAACATGTTTCTCTTGCTGGGCCTGCCTTTCTGCTGACGCCCTGATTGTCCTGTATGTTAAACTTGGCTCGATGTGAATCTTGAAAGGACTTTGTAAGTTTCCTTTTCATCAGAAGTTCAGTATTGCGCTTGAAGCTTACGTGTGGTACAAATATCATCTTGACCTAGATCAACGCTGAGTTCGCTAATGGATTTTTAGACTTCTCCACCCTCTCACTAAAGATCCCCGTCGTCAATCTCTCGTTCAGGTGTGTTCAAGCATGCCAGATCCCTCCCAGTTGAAAGAAATTGATCTAATGTATTTGATATTGACAGTCTCGATAAGTTATGGGACGGACAACCAGTCAGATACATGTGTTTAAATCGCAAAACAAATGAATGTTACTGGGCTGTAGTCTTTCAAATCGCTGAATTAGAAGCGGATAACAACTTATCTGAAGATGATACTGATTCAAATGAAGAGGTCAGCAAAGGATCTCGTCGCAGTCTCTGGGGTCGCCTTCACTCCCGTCAGAAGCCTAAATGAGCCAAGAGAAGAGGAATAGAATAGTTTTCACTGACTTGCACTTATTGGGATTATCTTTGGATGTGTTTCGACTTCCTTCGTTTGTCAAATAATCAAATATAGCAATCTTCCGAGGAAAACTTTGCGGTAAGTCGACGTGCTACACGAGGCAATTCCGCAGCCACACGACCACCAGATGACCTACCAGTCTTTGAAAATCCTGTGATAGATGAATGAGCAGGCAGAGTTTCTTTCATCTCCAACTGACTAATGTTGAGATTCTCCCTTGAAGTGCGATGTGGTTCTCAATTTCACTTGGCATTTGGATGGTTTCCTTGATACATAGACCATACTAGCAACTTTTTTTCCTTCCTGTTTGTTTGTACATTTGATCATCAGCACATATATGGGTGTATGTTTTAGTGTCTGAAAGTGTGAACAAGGTGATATGCATTTGTAGCATTAAATAATACAGGACATCCCAATATCCATATGCTGATAGGTGATGTGTTGATCCTATCAACTACTAATCATTACAGTGTTGTCAGCAGCATAATTGATGACAATCTAAAAAATAATGATGACGATGATCATAACTTGACACTCTGTTACCATCTCTTCCTATTAGACATCTTATGCAATCATGTAGCCTTTGAAGCTATCTTTGATTTTCAGTGTGTGGCATTCTATGAAGCTAGATCACTACTTGAAGCACTTTAACACTATTATGAGTAAAACTTGGAATCCAAATATATGATCATAATCTGATTTTTTGAGATTGGTATCCAAGCAAAAGGAGAAATGTCTAGAGTTTGAATATGTACATATCTTGTCAAAATCAAAAGGTACAAGTTCATATTTGAAGTGTTTGAATTGAGAGAAATCAGTTATCATCAGTGAAGGGAAGGTTGATAATTTTTGATCAGAAACATTTCAAGTTTGAGATTCTTCTTTGTATATCATCATAACATCCTCGAACTTGAAGTGTCAGAATAAATTGAGGAGTGTTGTTGATCATCTTGGCTCCTCATGTTGGCAAATAATGATGTGTTTGCATTGAGCCTCAAGCTCAAAATTCAAAGGGAGGCATATACACTACAAAAGACCTGATTCACTTACTCACAAACCTGCCCATTTCTGCTTCTATCTTCCCATTCATTTTGGGAATTGTCCATAGAATTGTGAAAATGGGCATTTATGGATGATGTGTGTTGGCCATGTTCTCAAAAAGAAGTGGCCTTGCATAGTTGCTTCCTTACATTGTTACTTATTATTGGCATCCAATACGCAAAAGGGTGATGAAAATGATACAGGTCAAGAAACAAGTACAGGATGCATAATTGAAGCCTGTGAAAAAAACATGTTAGGCTGATTCCACACAAGACTCTCAATCAAAGTCACTTGAGAATCTTGACACCTCATTACAACCAGAAGACAAGCTTGGTACATACTCACAACATCTTTGAGAACAAAGGGATACAAAGCTAAAATCGAATTCTCCAAGTTGAGTGACCCTGAGGACGAGAAACGTCAGAGTAAGCTGGGAGGTATATAGACGTGATAAGAGACTAGAGTTCATCATCAAAAGCTTCGGTTTCGAGTTAGTTGATCAGCTAGTCGCTCTTAGGATAAAGTAGTTTCCTCGCATTTTGAAGATTTATAAATCTGGCTTCGCTGAGCACCTCTCAATGAACATCACTCAACTCTTCATTGACAACATAAACTTTCAGAAAGGTTGATAAGGCAAAATAGTTTGTTTGAAGAGAAGTGGATCGCTCTGAAACTCATTTCCCCATTTTGTTTAGAGGACATATATGAGTTTTTTTCATACGAAACTGTTGTCTTTTGATAGAGACAGGGAAAGAACCCCAAATGGAGACCAAGAAATGACAAGAAAGAGATCCAAATGATCACGTAGAGATATGCCCAGGGGTTGAGCTGGTGAACATTGAGATGCCAGGATCGGTAGCGAGACAAACTTTTCCATTTTGAAAATTTGATACAAGTTGTGTCTATCTCTGGGATATGTCGAAGGAAATGATTTGAAATTTTGCTTGGACAAAATCAAGTGGACTTTGCCTTTTGAAGGGTTTCAGTAGATTTCAAGATACTATGGAGTCTTTAGAGAATAGACTCGAAGGCTCAGTCAACCTAGCTAGTGAGAGGTGTCCCAACCCCTGTCTCACATGCTTCTCATTGCCCCAGCAGTTCAAGAGACCCGGCTTTGTTGGGTTGCGAGTTCCCAATCTGTTCTGGGAGCGGGAGCACTTGAGGATCCGGGTTTTTTTCCTGATAATCCCTGATAATCTGATACTGATAAAATTCTGATAATACAGCGTACAGTGCCCCCGTTAAAAGCAATTCAAAAATTTATAATAGCATATTACATGGCTATGTGCTAGTCCGTACTAAAGTCAGAAACCTTAGCGTTAGGCCATCACGTGTGCATGTCACTCACCTGTCCCATTCTCCCCAAATGAAAAAAACCTCACATACCTCCAGTGTTTCAAGATGAATTTTTTTTACCACCACCACCACGCAAAGAAGACCTGCAGCACAACGGAAAAATATTCAACAGACATTTACCGACTTAGCATCCTTCATTTGTTTCCTTATCCAATGGTAATGAAAGAGCTCATGCTTCATATTTTTCAACAAAGATCAAGACTTATGATTCTTCAATCAAATTAGACTTTCACTTATGTTGCGCATGTGACGATGTGAGGCTTGGGGGTTGTCGGCCCAGAAAAGTGAGAGTTCCATAGCATCCAAATCCTTTCTTTCATTTGACTTGATGAAGAGTAAGAGTGTAAGATTCACGGTCATAGAAATTGGGTTGGAGTGGTAAGGAAAGATCAATTTCTCCTGACCAAAAAGTTCCTCATCTTCACGTTTTGAAATCTTGAGCTTTCAATCAAACTTAATATGTACTCTCTTTTTTCGATTCCTCATATATGGCAAGGATTCTCGGAAACCAAAATAAAGTGTGGTTTTGTGAGACATTTTAAAGATCGATTCTCATTGGAAGGTTTTATCAAATTTCCATGACATTTATCGACATTTTTTTCTTTGGTTTCTTCGAAGAAAGGTTATTGTGGCATTTTTTTAACTTTGACTCAAAACCGAGCAAATTTTTGGACTTAGTTGAGAAAGACATCAAAAGACAGCTTTACTTTGCTGTTTTCTTCCTTCCACTGCACATCCGTTCATAGTCTCACTAGCATAAAAAACCTTTATAAGAGAAAAAGTTGATTGTATAAAAAAATCTGTTTAAATTCTGTTTTACTCTCAATTTGTCTAAGAAAACATCCATACACCTACAATCACGTTAGCTTTACTGCATCTCTTTACTTCAGAGCGCCAGTGAATAATATGAATCGTACTAGTAGAATTTAAAACTTTGATAGAAGGTCGCATCGCAAGGCGTGAGAGGTGACACCTCAAGGGCGTAGGCCACGTGGTCTGCCTGACGGACAGCAGTCCAGACGCTAAGTGGTAAAGGGCCTGGAGATTTTTCTAACTTTACATATGATGTTGACTAATGTGGACCCATAACCTATGGGGTTGTGAGGGTTTATCAGGATTATCAGAACTTATCAGGATTATCAGAAGTTCTCCAGCAAAACCCCGATCCTATAGTCTACCCGTGGGAGCTCCGAAGATGGTGTGTGTTCAACATGTTTGGTGATAACGGGGTCCTCCAAGTGCTGCCCTGAAGAGATGGCTTTAGCACCGCTCCGTTTTTCCTTCTTGCGGGGACCTATGACACTAAACATATACAAAGTAGAGAAGACATTGATACTCAATTTCTTTGTAGAAGTGCAGAGCTTGGATTCACAAAGGAACATTGGACTCCCTGGTATGGACTTGTGATGTGATAGATGATGAATACTCACTGGACGTGCTCCAACTTGACTCCTCTGAGTGCGAGTCCAACAACAACAAAATATCATCATCGTCAGCTGAATGAATTTAAGCTCGACTTCACTGTTGCCACATTTGCCTTAAGTGGCGTGCAAGCCTTCAAGGTAAATGCTCCCAGTGCTGTATCGCAAGCTACTTACTTTCGGAAATCTGGATTTCTGACCCACACCACCTCTTCGTATTCTGTCAAAACGACATCCTCAAGATAGGCATTAAAGTGCCTTCCAGCCCATTTGAAAGCTTCCCGACCTTCTTTTTGCGTGATTGTTTGACCATTGGAGGCTTTGTAAGGCTTCTTACCCGGATGTAACATTTGTCCGAGGTTCAAATTACGGTCATGTTCTACATCACGTGGACCCGCATACCCATACAAGTAATTTCTGTCGATGTACTCAAGTAAAGCTGATACTCTCTCGGGGTCATTATAGTCTTCTGATGGCCAAGACTCTCCTTTCTTAGGTTTGAATGATTCCTTGTTTACTAACGAAGCCCTGCTCCAGACCACAAGGTCATCCACTCCGTCCGGAGTTTGATAAGGGAAATCTTCACAATATGAACATTCATATGATCAGCTTCATCATTCTTGGACATTTGAATCACACTCCAACCATACCATTTGGAATCAATTTGGAAATTCTCTCATCTTGAAGGCTACCCTTATCGAGAAAAGCTGGAGCTGCAGTCTCCCAATGTTCAGGCCATCCTAATTGTTCACGCAATTGCTCGTGATTGGAGCGGCCCCTTTTCGAAGTTTTCTCCTGCCATGCCACATAAGCACTCTTTCAATATGATACAAGTGGATCAGTGATTTGGTTCAGGATGTTTGGACAGCATCACCATGAGGAAATCCTAGATACCAGTCACTACTCACTTGGGTTTCTGGTGACCTTGTGGTCGATATATCTGGGTGCCTGATACCATAAAGTCAGTCACTCGTCGTCTCCAGTGTTAAGGTACAATTGACTTACCCGCTCAAGACCAACCGTACTGTCTCAGGATAGAAGACCTTTGGTACATCTGGTCGTGCTTTCAAAGGAAATTCCACTTCCTCAAAACTGTCGGACTTGTGCGTGGCCACATCCTTTGCTATTCTCGACGGAACGGCAAGAGATTGGGATTCAAAAATCCCGTAGGAAAGAAGATACAAGAAGAGTAGACGCATTGTATTCCGAAGAAGTAATTTGCTAAAAATTATTTGTCAGGAAGCTCCAAATGGTGTAAAATATATCGTGGAATAACTCTGAAGACTAGGACAAGAGAGTACGATGAAGAATTGAAGTGATACTACGTATGCTTGTATAGACACCTCAGAAGGCTGGAGTCGAGCATCAATTGTTGGTCATGAAGTCTGGCGCTTTTATACCATATTACTACCACTTCACCGGTGCGCCGCCGCCGCGTAAGTCGGAAATTCCGAAGAGTGCAATCCATGAGCAGCTCATGAAGAGAAAGTGTCCATAAACCTCCAGTTTGTTTCGAGTGACACACGGCAGCCATCCGTCACTCTTGGACTCACTACGATGTACATACCCATTTCCCGTGTTTCCCATTGGGTTCTTGCGATAAGATATGTAGATAACGGAAAATCCGAAGGTTAGACCAATCCATCAGCAGCTGAACAACGCGCAAGCAGCTTCATAAACCTTTATTATGTTTCGAGTTTCACGCGGCCGCCATCCGTCATTCGTGGGGGCACCACGATGTATACTACTATCCCATGTTTCCGACCATTTTCGACCAATCCGAGCCGCGAGCTTTCGCGAAAAATACGAATGGTAGGGTGTCCAATTCATGAGGATCTGAGGATCGAGCGAGCCCCGATATCCACCGTGTCCTATGTCCTCATTGCAACCGCTAATGCCGAACAACTTTTACTTATATGACTGGATTCTTGCAATGTTCTATGTATATAGCAAAATCCGCAGGGTAGACCAGTTCATAAGCAGCTGAAGAGTGAGAGAGCGTCGTCACATGCCTTCTTTGAGTTCGAGTGCCATCTCCAATCCGTCCCTCGTGGGCACAACACGATGTGCATACACATTCCCGATGTCTCCGACCAGTTCCAAGCACTCCGAGGCGCGAGAGTTTGCGGAAAACCCGACAGATAGGGTGACCAATATATGAGTAGCTGAAGAGCAAGCGGGCGTCGATAGCCACTTCAGTGCAACGGCTATATGCCGAACAAATATATTTATATGACGGATTTCTCATAATGATTGATATCTATATATATAAAAGGCCTTTTATCTCCTCATTGTAATGTTATATAATTCGAACATCCTATGATGAGCATCATCATGTGTGTAAAGGAACTCCTCACCAAACTGTGCAACCATTCCCCTCAGACGGCCGAGACTCTAACGCTGAGCGAGATAACCCAGTTGATTGTATACTTTTGGAACTGGAATTTGATTTCAACAAATGTGGTCATCGGATTTGATAGGTGGTGGTGAAAGGCTGTGTAATCTGTCCGTATTTCTTGCTTGTTACTTGCTCTTTGGGTGCTCGTGGATCAGACAATGCTTCGCATACTCCCTAGGGAACGGCGCAGGACTTTGATACGTTTACAGGCTCAGCGCTTCCATGAAGCATCGGCAGTTTTCAGTGAATTTTCAGTTTTTGCCGATCAAAACCTGTATGTCCAAAACTCAAAAGAGACCATTCTTTTGAAAATCATATTTTGTGACATGTCTCTCTGGAAATCCATACTATTGTGTGTTGGTGTCACAAAGCACGTGATTTAATGGACATCATGGAACTTGAAACTTTGGTTCAAATTGTACCAAACCACTCATGCAGTCATCACTCATCCTTTCAACCATATTGACCGTGGAGCTCCAACTGCTTTAGTAGAACCAGGACCAGCATTTCTCTTAAAATGCCTTTAATTAGATCATATCCTCTACCTGGATGAGCTCCAAGCTGAGATCCTCAAAACCTGTGGTATTCATGTGGCTGTCCAATCACTTTCAAACAAGCTCTGAGACAGCCTCAAATGGACTCAAAAACAAGCTTGAACTGTGCATCTAAACAATCTCTAATGGCCAGAGGTGCTTATATCAAGGCTATTCACAACATTGACCCTTGATGCCCTGTTTTCACAGTGTGTTTCTAGTGAAATCATTTTGATCTCTTTTTAAACCCTTTTAATAACTCTTTCTGACTGTTTTTATACTTTATTTTCCTTTGTAGATGAAACTGCAAACATTGTCTCTATCAAGAATTTGCTTGAGCTCCAGTTTGAAAAAGAACTGCCAGGCTTGAAGTCCCCACCCAAGTGTTTGGTTGGTCAGTGCTGCCAGCCATATCAATGGATGGAGTACTTGCTTTACATATATTCCAAAACAGGGGATACCAACGCTGAGACAGCTACGCTACAACACGCTACCATGCATTTGGTATGTAGCGTAACTGTATGCAGTTAACACAGATCTGACCATTATGATAGTGTAACTTGTCAAGTTACGCTATGCTACAAGCTACTGTAGCTGAGTTTTGTGCCTCTACACTACGCTACAAGGCCAAAATTTGGTTAGCTTGAGATTTTCTGGGACTCTGTGTAGGGTAGCTGGGATTCATTCATGCTGATTCCTGCTAGCTGTAGCTTTGCAGTGTGTTTCTAGCTACGCTATCTTGCGCTATCAGCTACGGGTAGATTAGCTGTCTCAGTGTTGGGGATACTCCCAAGTGAATTTTGAGGCCTACTTGGAAAACCATCTGGTCATTGATCATTTGATTTGCCAATGAAACAATCATAACTATGGTTCTGATCTTTGTAGTAACCTACCCTATGTGCTTATAGTTACTGGCAATGAATCTGTGGCCCCAATGTAACACTATGCAGGTTATGGACAACACACCAATTCACCATGGGGGCATGGCTGATCTTTGCACCACATGGGAAGTGCAACTGGTGTACCTTCAACCTTATAGCCTGCATTTCAACCCAATTGTAAAGGATTTCACTACTGAAGGAAGCATTGAGAATTACAAAAGAAAACTCAAGCTGCTTGAACACAGAAAAAGAGAAGGCTAAAAATTTTTAACAGTTATGAAGTTGTTCACAGCTGAGATTTGTGTGTCACTTTTTAGAAGGACTACCTATCTCAGAACAAAGACTTTTTTGTTTTGTTTGCTTTGTGGTTTTGGTCACTTTGTCATAGAGATGAGAAAACATACTTGGATTCCAGTTGTTTGTTTTCAGTTGTTTTCTTTTTCAAACATGACAATGTTTATCCTTTTTTGAAATGTCATTAAATAATGTTCTTTTTTGGATGTGCTAAAGCTTTACAAATCTTTTTTGATTGTATCAAAATCAATCTTTTGGGAAATTCATGCCAAAAGTCTTCACATCAAAAGTCACCCTTCCACTGCTAAATTCTCATAAAGTTGAAAAGATTGGTTGAAAATGTAAAAAAAGATATAAAATGCCTTTAAAGATGTTTTGCTACTACTTCTCAGCCCCGAGAGAATGAAAAAAATCATGTAGGAAGACAGTTCACACATAAAGAAGCATGTAAGAACAATTTCTGATATAAAAGTTTTAGTCTCAGATGTGCAGATAGGAGAACTTGATCAGAGGTCAAAGAAAGAAGCTTTCAAAAATAAAATAATTATTTTTTAAGTGCTCATATTAGACATGCAAAAGGAATGCTCAGGTCAAATATTGAACTTTAAAATGTTATAATTTTTAACAAATGACTCTTAGACGTGCAAAAATGAGTGCTCAGGTCAAAGAGTAAACCTTTGAAATGATCTATTCTTCATTTGAAAATTTCTATTCTCAAAATGGAAAGCTGGCAAAGTGGTTTCACAATGTGACAATTTAATTTCAGATAGAGTAACATGATTTAACAGATTTACAAGTTTCTCAGGCAAAGTACATTGGTTGATCAAGGGGAACAGAGGTAATGGTGTACTGGGAGAACTTTCACATTTGTAAGTAGGAATGATCCCATTGATATGTCCTTGGTTTCATTCCTTCAGATGATCATTTGGCTTCTGTAGACAGTCAGAAGTGAAATTTATTGGAAGAAGTTCAGTATATAGGAAAATGACTCACTATTATTTGTATCATGAAGTTGTTGAGACTTTTCTAACATCTGGGCAGCAACATCAGAGCTAAATCCATTTTCAGTCAAAGTAGCCTCAGTCATCTTCATGCTTGGAAGTTGAACTCAATCAGTCCATGATTTCAAGCCAAAGTTGAGGAGTTGGTTATGAGTGCAACCATAGTTGTTGATCACTCCACATTGTGTGACAAAAGTTTCAAGGAGTGACTTGTTCTCCTTGCGGACCTCAAGCACATCAGTATCAGTGTCTGAAATTTCTCCCTCTGTTCCAAACAAGCCGCATGAGTAACTTCGAAGAACATGTCTTCTGGCAGGAAAAAACCATCTGGGTTGAAGAAATGTAGTCAGTTAATTACTTGCCAAAGTAAAACAGGAGAAGACTAACCTGAACTAAGTACAACAAAGCTTGGTGAATCAAAGTGGTTTTCATTGTCAGAAAATATGAAGGAAATTGGTGTTAAACAGAATAAATAAGCTGATGGGGAAGAAAGAGGTCAAGTTTGTTGGATACCCAGCCTTCTTTTATAGGCAAGGCAGGTGTAGCTTGAACACAAAGAGATTTTGGAAAAACTTTTGGGCTGGAAAGGTCCTGTTAGGGTCCTTTCATCAAAATGTTTGTAACAAATTGCATGTCCTCACCTCAATTGTAACAAGGAAGGCTTGATGAGAACTTTGGTATCAAGTATCATTGCTGGGTTGGGAATGGGTCTGGCTCTGGGCTGATCAGCAGCTGGTTTACGCTTGACTGCCAAGAGGCAAAAGTCTTATTGTGTACAGAAGAAAAAAACAAAACATGTATAAGTGTCAGCCCTGAGCCCTGTGTACAGGACCACGGACTAACAAACACACATGTAAATATATGTAATACATATGTAATTATATGAAACTTGTCTAAAACCATAAGAATTACAACTCATGGCTCAGTTTCAAGAGTCACTTAAGTAACAAGACTTACTAGGACTTAACTAGTAATAGTAAACCTAACCCAAACCTAACTCAAAGAAAAGCAAACCTAAGCGCCAACCACAAGTTGACGCCTAGATCTGGAATATATAAACTCCTCTTCTTCCCACTCTAGAAGAAGGACCAA